CAGAAACCTGGTGAGAATTCAGACTTCTAAATGATTTGTGTGTTGTTTATGCATATGTTCCTTTACTTTCGTTATGATGTTGAAATAAATAAACTCACCCAATATTTTCTGCAGTTCTTATATCTCTGGAAGTAAGTTGAGCACTTGGTCCTATCATAATTGTAGGTGTCCAAACACTTGTGAGAGGCATCACTTTCCTGAAAGAGTAGGATCAGTTCCAATCATAGAGCAGCAGTCGCTATCGTCAACAATGTCCAGCATGGGGAGGATGAGTAACTCACTTCTAAGCAGGGGTTTATGTCCTGGTTCGAAATTTTTCGGGACGTTTTATCCATTTAGATCTGTGAAGAGAAAAACAAGAAAGGTTCTAGTTTTGAAATTATTTGTTCTTAGGAAAACTTTCAGCAAGTGAGTAATCATCATTTCAGTTCAACTAGCACAACTTCCTGGAGGGGCTGAGCTGCTACTGCCTTTGTCTCTCTACTTTTTCTGTGAATTTAAAAAAGAAATGTCCACTTTACAATCAGCTGAAATTCCTTGCATAGAAAACATTTTAACCAATTTGAAAAAACTGACCCCGATTGTATTGTTGATAACGAGGATCAACTGGAACAGATGTTGCTGACTTAAGCGATATATCTGTACAATTGAATTGAATCGATTAGATATTTCTGTACATAAACTGGTTTTGTTGTTTTGTAAAGTACCTTAAGATGACATTTTCTGTAAAATGACATCATTTAGTAAAATCAATAAATCAATTGAAATTTGATTTGAATAACATTGAGTTGTGTTTTAAAGTTATTACATTGGAACCTGATTGTGATTATATGAAAGAGAAATAGTGTAGATTGGATATATTAGAGGTGTGCCAATCGATCAGCCACCAATCACAACTATCAACATTTACCTGGATTAACATCACGGTCAGAAAGCTAAACAAAAAACCCGAAAGATTAGTTAAGTCTTTGAGCTGGCAGTATAAGATGCTGGTTTTGCTCTCGCTGTTGGACCGCTGCTTAAAGCAAGCTGCAGAGTTCTAACATGTGGCAATACAGACTATGGTCATATATATATTTTTAATGTGTAATTCCGTAGAAGCTGCATCAATGTCAGTGTTGACTAAAATGGGCTTCCACCAATCCGCAGGTCAGTATTCACAAATTTGTTTGTGGAACGTGACTCCATATTATTCACAGAAAATTGCCTATTTGCAGATTTCTTTATAGACTATGTCTAATATATTTGAAAGAAAATGCAGCCTATAGAAGCTGACACACCTTTGCACAATTCTACTTGACAATTCAGCATTGGCTGATGTTTGCAAAGCAAGCAATCTAAGAGCTCTATTAATTTTCCTGGACAGTACTTAGCTGTTCTCCCAATAGGAGAGACAAGAAAGACTGAAAGACTGTAGGTATTTCAGCCTGAATACGACAGTTACGAAAACCCTGCTCAGTACAATAACAGAACAAAACCTGCAGAAATAATCAACATAAAATACTAAGATAAATTGATATTTGTGGTGGAGCGCATCGTGGCGGTACACAGCTGGTAGATGTGTCTCTGTGTGTGATAAACGAAGGTGTCAAATCCCAGCGCTAATATGGACACAGAAGCTATAAATGCTGGGAAAGGGGAGCGTTCATCTACTAAATTGACTGAAGATGAATACATAAACTACAGTCAACAAAAATATAAACGCAACACTTTTGTTTTTGCTCCCATTTTTTATGAGATGGACTCAAACATCTAAAATTCATTCCAGATAAACAATATTACCATTTCTTTCAAATGTTGTCCACAAATCTGTCTAAATGTTTGATAGTGAGCACTTCTGCTTTGCTGAGATAATTCATTCCACCTCATAGGTGTGCCACTTCAAGATGCTGATCTGACATCATGATTAGTGCACAGGTGTACCTTATACTGCCCACAATAAAAGGCCACTCTGAAATGTGCATTTTTATTTTTGCTTTATTGGGGGTCTGGGGACTCAGAACCAGTCAGTAGCTGGTGTGACCACCATTTGCCTCATGCAGTGCAATGGGCAAATCTTCTCCGCATCGAGTTTATCAGATTGTCAATTGTGGCCTGTGGAATGTTGGTCCACTCCTCTTCAATGGCTGTATGAAGTTGCTGGATATTAGTGGGAACTGCTTTTGGATACGCCGGTCAAGCACATCCCAAACATGCTCAATGGGTGACATGTCCGGTGAATATGCTGGTCGTGCAAGCACTGGGACATTTTCAGCTTCCAAGAATTGTGTACAGATGCTTGCAACATGGGGCCAAGCATTGTCTTGCTGAAACATGAGGTGATGTTCATGGATGTATGGCACAACAATGGGACTCAGGATCTCATCACGGTAAACATGCATTCAAAATGCCATCAATAAGATGCACCTGTGTTCTTCGTCCATAACAGATGCCTGCCCATACCATCAACCCACCACCACGAGCCACTTGATCCACAACATTTGCATCAGCAAAGCGCTCACCCACACGACGACTAGTATGCAGTTGAGTTTCCCTGAGCGGTTTCTGACAGTTTGTGCAGAAATTCTTTGGTTGTGCAAACCAATTGTTTCAGCAGCTGTCTGAGTGGCTGGTCTCAGACGATCTTGGAGGTGAACCTGCAGGATGTGGAGGTCCTGGGCTGGTGTGGTTACATGTGGTTTGTGGTTGTGAGGCCAGTTGGATGTACTGCCATATTCTTTGAAACGCCTTTGGAGACGGCTTATGGTGGATAAATAAATATTTAATGCACAAGCAACAGATCTGGTTGACATTCCTGCTGTCAGCATGCCAATTGCACGCTCCCTCAATGCTTGCGGAATCTGTGGCATTTGTTGTGTGACAAACCTGCGCATGTCAGAGTGGCCTTTTGTTGTGGGCAGTATAAGGTACACCTGTGCACTAATCATGATGTCAGATCAGCATCTTGATGAGGCACACCTATGAGGTGGGATGGATTGTCTCAGCAAAGCAGAAGTGCTCACTATCAAACATTTAGACAGATTTGTGGACAACATTTGAAAGAAATGGTAATATTGTTTATCTGGAATGAATTTTAGATCTTTGAGTCCATCTCATGAAAAATGGGAGCAAAAACAAAAGTGTTGCGTTTATATTTTTGTTGAGTGTTTTCATAAGCGTATTTGTGAGCCTGGCTTTTTATTATTAAGTTGAATATAATTTCAGATTTTTGTATAACTTTTCAAAATATTGGTTTCAAGATGCAATAGAGAAAGAAACGTTTTCTGTACCATTTATTTAGGTTTGTCGCGTCTTAATCAGGAAACGACACAGCCACCCAATTTTTTACAAACATCTGGGTTGAGGATCCCGTTAGGCTGTCACTGGTTAATCCAGGTCTTAATGCGGCTCGTTTTGTTTTTAAATTTATTTCCAGCCTGAAAACTGTTTCCCAGTAGGGAACACTCTACAGATACTGTAAATATGGAACATAATCTGACAGTATAATGTAGGAATGTTCATTATTATAACTTTGGCTTGTCCATTTGGATTCACCACCAACTACAACATTGGCTGTTAACTTTATATCATTTAGATGAGATTTTATTGCAGTATAACTGATCAACATTATTTGATATTCCTCTCTATTTGGACACGTAAACACCACAGCAACATCATCAGGTATGTGATTTAAAGTTTGTTAAATATGGTGACACCAACCTCATTGTTTAGCGACACTTACTGTGGGTAGTGTCGCTAAAAAGAAGAAAGTTCAGAAACAGTTTGGTTGCATTGCAGGATGTGAGCCAAAAACACCACACACTAGGGTGGAAGTGTTAATTTTTAAGTGTTAACACTTAATGATATAAGTGTTAATAATGTGAGAGTGAATTTCAATGATTTTTCTAGTTACAAAAAGCAGAAACCTTCCACTCAAGTTTACTTTGCGGCTGTTCATGAGATAAAACAAATGTATTCTGGTGAACCTGAATGTGAATGGGATTGTCGTGTCATTGATCTGGTTCTGTTCTGTGTTTTCGAAGCGCACTGAACACTGCTCTGAGGAAACTTGTTTTGAAACAATTTGCACATGCAACATTAAACATATTTCCTTCAAATGAGATTTGTAGTAATGTTTTGCAAACGGTTTTGTCACACAAGTAGCATTTTTCAACAGGCATCAACACAGCCACCTACAATTTAGAAACATCTGCGGTGCACAATGTTTCACCCAGTTAATTTAGCCACCAGTAAATTATTAAGCAGATGTTACTGGAGACTAATCGATGAAGAACGGGTTAATTAACCTTTCGACAAAAGCAATGGGTTAGAAAGTGTCATTGGTTGATGAGGCCACCAACACCGGCTAAGAGCTCTGTTGCCTGTTCGGTGCTGTCATGGAGAAAGTCCACCTACCTTTACCAACGACACCTACAATACGACGCTGGGAAGACTATAGGAATCGCTGTGGACCCACATGGCAGAAGGTCATGGCTCAGTTATGAAACAAACCGGAGTGACTGACTCAGCTGGTATCACAGAGTTGTTCCCCTACTATCAGCTAAATCCTCTCAAAAAGGAATCCAATGATGCCCTACTCCAGAAAACTTCAAACAACTTGCAAACTCATGCCTCCAAATGCACTGTGACGCCTGCTACAGAGTATCAGGAAACTCCGCCAAAGTCGTCGTCACCTGAACGTTACATCAAGCCAATGAAAATGCCGGAAAGCGCTAACCCCGTCGCATGACAGCCCGGCGGTCCAATGGGATTCCTCCTGCGATCCGTTCTTCCTCCTATCGTTGTGAAACAGAGCAAAGCACTAATAACGATTGACAGAAAAACTAGCAAGTCCAAAAAAAAAGCCGTTTATTGAAAGGCCTGTACTAGAGATGGACGTGAAAATGGCAGCGCCGTCAACAAATCACATGAAGCAGGGCGCCGGAGTGGGCGTGGCCATTGTATAGTGCGGTTGCATCGCAGCGCATACACAATGGCTGCCCGAAAGAGGAGAGAGCAAACAATTTTCAGGCCCGCCGCGTCTGGCAAAAAATATGAGAAAAAAATCATAAAAAATTCGGAAAATAGTTGAAAGTCAAGAAAAAGTCCACAGAAAGGATGTGGAAGCTCCTAGGGTAAGTTTGGTGTAAATGAAACAAACGGGCACTCCGCTGATGCCTTCAAATATCGGGGTTATTTAAATGAGGAGAGGTGGGGGTGAGTTGGAGGAAAAAAGTTTCTGTTAATCACTCCTCCGTTACGGAGCAAAGAAAAAAGTAGCGAAGTATTTTCCTCTTGGAAACCCGTGAAGAAGTTCAGTCAGTGCTGATAGGAATGCGTGTCATAGTACGGCTCCACCAACGTTAAAGAAGTGACACAAAGTTGGACTTGACTGCTTTTTTTTCATTTAATGACAACGACTGTGCGCTGGGCTTAGCAAGAAACCTAAACTCACAAATAACATCCATTCTATGTGCTGCGTTCAGATACACTTGTTAATCTCTTACCCACATGCTGGTTACCGTGAGCAGAGGGTCACTACGTTGCTTTAAGCATTTCTTTGTGAAAAATGAAGACAGCCCCAGTAACGACAGGCAACAGTGAGAGGGGATTCATAGTGCATGTAGAAACTGATGTCAGACTGGCATCGCTGCAACCTGGAGGAAAACAAACCATAGGCTTATAGACTTTAAAGGTCTATAAGATGAGGGTTTCTGGAAGATGTAAAGTTTGCAGAGCGGGGCGCCTGTCTGCAGGACGGTTCACACTGCTGCTTCCACATGCTGATGCGGGTCATTGAAAAGATGATGTGCTGTACGCGTCTGTGCTGCTGCTGTATGCCTGCCTGGAACCCTCACGCTAAATGCCTTCACTCGTCTTATTTGCTGGTGTTCATGATGACGGTGAACATTGGTTGTCCTGATTTGAGTTGAAATTTACGCAAGACAACTGGGCCATTAAAAAGAAAAGAATCAGTATACATACACTGTATATATGCGACTTATTACATAAGTTGTAGCCTACTTTGGAGGATTAATTTTATTGTTGAACATCAACTGCACTCTCTGTCAATCCAAAATGTTAATAACCCTTTAAACTTGAGTATTTAAGAAAGTAAAAGCGAGATTTTGGTTTTCTTAGGGCAATATCTATGTACAGGATTAATGCTGCACACTAAAACTCTTAGTGTGCAGCATTATTTTGCAACTGAATTAAAACTGAAAATGTTCCCATCTCACTTGTTTACTGTCATCTGTTAAAGTGAGAATAATAGACATTTCTGACATTAAAACAATCAGTGACTAACATAATCACCCTTCTTTTCAATAACAGTTAAAGGCCTTCCATTTATAGAGTCTGTCAGTTTCTTGATTCAAGGATACAAGAATTTTTCAGTGCCATATCACCTTTGCTTGTTTGTGGTAAAAAATTCTAACTCAGGACCTAGATAAATAAATTTAATGCACAAACAATAAATAAATAATAAAGTAACTTATGTGAAATATAGATATGCATATTAAAAATGTGTGTGTGTGTGTGTGTGCGTGCGTGTGTGTGTGTAAATAATTGGAGGATTAATAATTTATGAGATGAAGTTGAATTAGGTGCAGCTTGAGTTCAGTAGTCTGATGTCTGAAGGGAAGAATCTGTTTCTCAGCTTAGCAGACTTGCCCTGGATGCTCCTCAGCCTCCCGCCTGAGGGGAGCGGCTGGAACAGACTGTGTGCAGGATGGGTGGAGTCCTTCTTGATATGGAGCGGACTCCTCACAGTCCTCTGTCCAGTCTTAACCACGCTCTGCAGAGATGTCTTCTGAGCTGCCGTGCTTCGCGGTGATGCAGGTGTAGAGAACGTTCTCCACCACACAGTAATAGAAGGAATTAGACCAGAGGAAACTTACTTATACTTATGTTACAACTCAGAAGTCTAGAGTATTCCTACTTACTCTTATTTAGCAACCCAGAAACGGTATTAAAACTTGGAATCCAGAAGAAACTAGCTTAGCAACTACTTTTTAGACTCTTCTTCTTCCAAACCAGAAAAGGAACTAGACAAGAGGGTACTTACTTACTTATACTTATCTACCAACTCTGAATAGGAGTATCTACTTTATTTACTTTGTATGAACATTATTATCTTAATCTTCTTTTGCTCTTTCTTTTGGTTTATTTTGTTTGTATTTCCTTTTAATTCCTTACAGCACTTTATATTTTGAATCCGTCTTCAACCTGAACAGGTCCAACTATTTCATCTTTAATGATACCAGCCCATACCAGTACCCTGCCCCCACCTTGCTGGCATCTGATGCAAAGTGGAGCTCTGTGCCCATTACTGATCCAGCCATGGGCCCATCCATCTGGTCTGTCAAGAGTTAGTCTCATCAGTCCATAAAGCTTTGAAAAATCTGTCTTCAGATGTCTTGGCACAGTCTTGACGTTTCTACTTATGTGTATTGTTCAGTGCTGGTCAAGGTAAGGAATTTCAGCCTTACCTTGGCCATATCTCAGGAATATGACAATATTGGTTGGGAATCCCTTTGCCTTAATCACTGCCTTGATGCAGTCAGCTTGTGGCACTGCTTGGGAATTATGGAAGCTCATATTTCCTTGATGTTTGCTGTCAGCTCATCTTTGTTGTAGGATCTGGTGCTCCTCATCTTCCTCTTGAGAATATCCCATAGATTCTCAATGGTGTTTAGGTCCAGCAAGTTGGCAGGCCAGTCAAGCACTTGACATCATACGTGCTATCTGGCTGCTCTGAATGTCTTTTTTTTCTGCAGTGTGGCTTAATATAGCCAAACTCCGTCAAGTGTTTGTTTTTAAATGTCACATCAGACTCGTAGTGTTGGTGCATTTTGACGTGCTTCACCCCCAAGGTAATTATCCATCGCAACACACAAACTTCCCGATTCACTCTGAGCGTTATACTTCCACACGGCATCGTTTAAGATTTTTTGCCGTGTGCTTGCATAATGTGAAGAAAAGATGAGATCACCTGCACACGCAGGCTGCGAAGTGAGATACAGGTGATCAATTTTAATGATCGGTGACTGATCAATTGGCACACCTCAAAACTGTATTACACAGTTTATAAACTCTATAAGACCTGCACTATTTTTACTGCATTTAGCTGATGGAAAATGGCAATTCTGTTGGCAACTGACATTAGATGCCACCAAATGTAAAGTGCTGCAAGCTGAGTCTGGTGGCCTACCAGGTTGCTTAAACACTGAGGGAAACCCTGATTATGTAACAAATAAAACTCTGCAAAACTTTGAGCTCCATTTTTACTAGCTTGTGTTTATCAGTGCTTGTGTTTAACACCATCGTGGTTGCTACGTGACACAACATATGCTGAATAAGGATGGAAATAAAGCTGAAGGTCAGTTCATCCAATTTCACAACCATTCGCTGCCAGACTTCGCGGTCAATGTAGGCCGGGTTCTTTGATGACTCTTGGAGAATGCAGCCCCTTAGATTAGTACCCCCAGTATTCTCTTAAGTGTAACATTTAGCTATTCACATAATGCTGTTCTCTTCTTTTCTTTATGTGCCAGGCACCTTAGTCCACGCTGGGATGACAACCTAAAGCTGGACGTTGGAGTTACATCAGCATTATTCGGGCACCCTGCTCTTCATGTAGCTGGTCTGCTTTAGGGTGCCATGGCCACTGGAACAGAGAACCGCCATGACCATGTCCTGGAGAAAGCCAAGCTTTCACCAACATCAGGGAAACGCAGGAGAGCAGAAGGGAAACCCAAGAAGAATTTTCCTTGTCAGGAGTGTCAGAAGGCATTCAACAGCCTGGAGAAGTTGAGGGTGCACTCATACTCTCACACAGGGGAAAGGCCGTATCGCTGCTCCCATCCGGACTGCACCAAGGCTTTCGTCTCCAAATACAAGCTGCTACGGTACAGCAGGGTGCAGCATGATGATTTTTTTTTCTTTAGGCTTATTGAAATCTAGCATTATGATTTACTAATGAGTAGCTTTTCTTACAGTTCTATGTAACGCATGCTAACTTTGAATATAATTTCAGCCATTCTGAATGCTCATAGATTGTGTCTGTGTTCCAAGGCATATGGCAACTCACTCACCAGAAAAAAGCCACAAGTGTTCATACTGTGAAAAAATGTTTCACCGCAAGGATCACTTAAAAAATCACCTGCACACTCACGATCCACACAAGGAGGCCTTCACCTGTCAGGAGTGCGGGAAGAGCTACAACACCAAGCTGGGCTTTAAGCGTCATCTGGCCCTCCATGCTGCAAACAGTGGAGACCTGACCTGCCAAGTGTGCCTGCAGCAGTTCCCCAGTACTGTGGTTCTCCTCGAACACCTCAAAACACACGCTGGCAAGCCATCTGGAGGGACCAAAGAGAAGAAGCATTGTTGTGAACATTGTGAGCGTCAGTTTTACACCCGCAAAGATGTGCGACGCCACATGGTGGTGCACACTGGACGCAAGGATTTCCTCTGTCAGTTCTGTGCTCAGCGCTTTGGTAGGAAGGATCACCTGACACGCCACATGAAGAAGAGTCACACCAGGGAGCTGCTGAGGGTAAAAACTGAACCAGCTGATTCGCTGGAGGCAGATGTATATGATTTGGCTACTGGAAGCATCAAGGACGAACTTCCAGCAACACTGACAACAAGATCACACCAGGTTAACATGTTCACAAGCTCCGACCTGGACACAGAGACCTTTTCTTCCCCAAGTAATCCCTTTTCTCTAAAGTACCCACTGAGCTCCAACTTTACCTCATACACCATCACCTCACATGAGAGGGAGCAGAATCTAAAGGGAGAACTGGAGACCTATCTAATGGAGCTGCAGAACAGCATGCCATCCTCATCCTCTGCATCCGTAGAGCCTCAAATCCCATCCTCCAAACTCGAGTTGTTACCTCATGTAGGTATGCTGGAGGAAGCAAGCGAGGAGGCATCCCTCTCCAAAATTTCCACACCAGCAACAGGTCCTGCAGCAGACTCTGTAGCCTCATCTTCTTCACTTATGGATTTTTCCCAACTGTTCAACTTCTTGCCACACAATGGGCCTCCATACAATCATGTCGGAAGTGGCGGGGGCAGCATAGGACCAGCCATCACCTTTCCTTCCACTGAAGAATCTGTTCCTCTACTCCAGCTGCCCACCCAGATACCTGTGGGTGAAGAACCTGCAGAGAATCCTCTCCAAGGACTCCCCTCCTCCTTCATATGTAGTCTGAGCACACCCACAACACTACCCAGGTTTCACCAAGCATTTCAGTGATGAAGTCTCTCCTGCCAAATGCAGAGCCCCCATAGCTGAAACAGTCAAACAGGATTCCAGTAATTCTAGATAGTCAGGTTATTTGTTAAAAAGTGAAGAGACAATTACAAAGCAATAGGTGGATGATGACCAGGGCCAGCAGTTACAAACATACACACAACTTTATATGTATCTGGCTTATTAAACCTTAGCAGATCTTCACGTTTATTCCAGATAAATTACCCAGTTCTTTATTTCTGGAACTATTCTCCTAAAGTCTTTTTCTTTCATATTTTCTAAGCTGCTCCAAAGACAGAGATTACTTAAGTAACTATGAGCTTCAATATTCCTCTTTAATAGCATGTTAGAAAGTGTCACTCAGCTTCAGGCTGATTTAATGCTTGTTGCAATAAATCAGCAATAAGCAACTTATTGTGAAATGAATATAGAAATATGGACAGCTCACTTTTAACCAACACTGCCACATCATTGAATAGTTTTTATCTGGGACATTTTCTCTAACTGCAGTAGTTCAGATGTGTAACCCACAGTTTACTTAGAACTTGATAATCATTCCTAACTCTTCATGGCAACATAGACCCCTGCTTTAACTTTGTATGTTGCCACAAAGTAGAGTGCTACTTTAGATTTTAGTGTTGCCATATTTTTAAAGCACAGCTCTGTAGTTTTGCAGGAATTCAAACTAATAATCTTAACCAGGAAAACATCTCCTAATATGTAAACTGTTTTGTTTATGAAATAGGCTGCAGACATGACAGAATGTAGTAAAAGGACACACTTTACTGAAGCAAAATTACCAAACTAGAACTTCTGAGTATCTATTTAACTTCCTGACAATAAGCAAAGTCCACAAAACAATACAATTAAATCTCCTAAAATATTGAGCTAAAAATGATCCAGCAACAAAATTTGTGAGAGTTAGTATTCAATAATTAGCAGTGATAGGCTTCTTTCTTCAATCCCGGTTAATCACCAGACAAGAGGACCAAACTATCTATGGGCAAGGTACTGCATCCCTCATCTGCCTTTGGATATGTAAATGGAAACTGATTTACTTCAAATTATTTTTTGGCCAAATATCAAAACTAACAGCTGTTTCTCATAAATCAAGTTGAAACAATTTAAAAACCTCAACAAAATTAATGGTTTCTCCACATGCAATGCCACTTTTGTTGTAAGTGACCCTTACATTCACAGGGGTAAGAGACCACAACACCCAGAAAGTAGCTAAAATCTGCAAATACTTGCAACTTTTAATAGTTTAAATACTAGATTTACCTTAATATACAGTAATAAATACAATGAAAACTGCAGAACTAACATCCTCTGTCTTCCTTGTTTCTACTCTTTGGGGCACAGCGTCAAGGAAAATGAATGGTGCCGCTTGATTGGCTCCTTTGCAAATGCCAGTATGTCTTGGTATTGACATAGGTATTTCAGATTCACAAGCTGTATTTTCTTTAAAATCTTTTTTAAATATATGCTCTATGACAAGATCTGCAAATAAGCACATTTTTCAAATGGTATTTGGAGTAACATTAACAGAAAAATACATGAATAGGTGAATCCTGCAACTAGGTAGGGATCTACTGTATTATTTACTATAACATATTAGCAAAGAGAATTTTCAATCTGAAGCCTGTATACTTGATTGATAGATTCACCTATTCACAGGTTTGTCTGTGAAACATGTAACTCCAAATGATTTGAAAATATTTTTGGACAGCACATTAAAATTTCTAAAGAAAATACGGCTTGACAAGCAAAAATGTGTAAGTGCCGCTCAACTTCACATGCTATTGGCTGGTGGTTGCAAAACAGCCAATCCAGGAGCTTCATCAGTTTTCCTTGGCAAACTGATGAACTTACCTACCTCTACTCTAAGAGTAGAGGTAGGTAAGACTGGGGACAACAGCTGCTGCGTTAATGCTAAAATGGTTTTGACTGTGTGTATTAAAGTATATTAGGGGATAATTATTGTCTGAATGATTAAAATAGGCAGATGCAGGGGATTTAGGAGGGTTCTTAATTATTTATGGATTTTAGCTATTCACAGTTGGTCACAATCCCTAGCCGTGATGTATGCTGGGGTCCACTGCACATTGATGTTCCAACAAAGATTGCAATTCCATGTATTGTATTGACATATGAAGAACTATATACGCCAATTAAAACTAAAGTTCTGAAGTTGACATTAGTTTGGAGCACTTCCCATTTAACACAGAGGCTTCAGTTCTGTAAATAAGGGCTCCACCAAGAGTTTCTTTAATAGAAGAAAACACTTAAACATGGTTATAGCTGAGATGTTCATCTGCTGTCCTGCAAATGAACATCTCATGTGTGACGTGTGATTCACATGTCACTCAATACCACCTTGTGATTCACCTAAGCCCAAAATGGTACCTTTACCAACACAGATCAGGCACAACTTTATGACCATCTGTCTAGTATTTAAATATCTGACTAAACATCCCATCAGAAATGATTTTGATGCAATTATTATAATATTAATTTATTATTATATAATGATGTTTGAAATATAACTATAATATTCATATGATAAACAATAGTTCTATCTCTTGCCTTCTATTAAAGTAAAAGCTGCTGTCTGTGTAGACTTTGTTCAGGTCTTAAAAATATGAATGTTGTTGTGAGCTTCCAGAAAGTCTAACACAATTCAGAAATGCAACTCCATGCGACGTTCATGCTACAATAAAAATAAAAGTTAATAAAAGTAGGTTTAAATGTAAATATTGTCCTTACATCTAGTGTTGCTGTTTATGTGGAGTTGGGTTCTGCTCAGCTGGGATCCCAGCCTTCTGGGACATGCCTTGGTTCTGTCCTGATTATTTTAGAGTCGAGACAATTGATATGGGAAAAAATGTCTTTAAATACGAAAACCTCTTTAGAAAACTGAACAGAGCATGGAAGGAGATTTTAGTGTTTAGATATGATCTTTAACAAGTCAAAGTAAGACCCAACCTGTTGAGATTAAACATCTGTCAGTAGTTGTTTTGTTTTTTTTTCTCAGATTAGAGTTTACATTTATTTGTATGTAAGTATAAAAAAACACAATATAAAATGTATAGCTTTTCTAATTTGGAATTCAAGTCCCAAGATGAGCCTTTCACAACCAGTCCTAGTTCCAATGTTTAAATTTCTTGAAGTACAACAAATAGTTGCCTTGAATTCAAATTTATCCTCCCAAAACTGCCATTGTCACAGATTTGACAATGGAAATACCATGCATTCTTTACCCAGACAGCAGTTAATTTTTTTGACCCATATAAATATGGAGTAACTGTGGATCAATCAGGAGAGTATTTGTCTTTTGTTTTGAAGGCTGAAGGATACACTCCAACGTCTTCCTGTTTCATGTTGATGTATCCTTGAGCTAGGCACTTAACCAAAAGTTACCTACCAATCTGTGTATTGATATATGAACATCAGTATTTGAGAACAGCTTAAAATTGGTTAAAATTGTAATATAAAAGTACAGTCCATTTAAAGTTTCTCGTGTCATTGATCTCCTTTCAAAGGTTCCTGATCTTGGTAACTGTTTCTTTGTCTGACGTTTTCTATCTGTTCCGCTTTCCCATATTAATTTGTCATTAGAAACTATGTGTTGTTGATATCCATCAGGATATATGTTAGACGCCAGGAGCTGCTGCTTGACTGTCAGGTTACAGGTGAAGAACTCTCTCTTTTCCACTAGCTGTGAAATCATCCACAAGTTCAAAAAATAATCAGACATGATTTGTGTGACAGTGGTGAAAAAGAGTTCTTGTATTGATGCATTAATGACCTTATCTGACAAATATCTGGGGTAGCTGACACTCTCTGTTGGAAATAAAATCATCTGAACAGAGAATGGAGATCAGGGTTTCCTCAATAAACTGTTGTGTGGTTGATCCAGAAAAACACCTGGTTTGAGTGATGTGTGCTTTCTGTTGAAATGCACAGAACTGACATTTTATCAAGTCCATCATAGTGTTCTTTACCTCAAAACTTCAGTATTCAAGTCATGAATTCCAGTTTCTGTTTAACATTAAGTTCCCTTGTATTCCTTCCTGAATAAGGTTTTTGTAGGCCATGTAAAATGTAGAGTTGAATGTTATTGTGTCAAAGCATTTATCAGTGTGTGCTACCTGTATCTTGTGAAGACTTTATGAAAAATGTTTTTGATAATTGCAGCACTTTGTGTTCATGAAATGCCTTTAATCTTCCAGTGCTTTTGGTTTAAATGCATAATACAAATGTATAAATGATATATTTACCTCTTTTAGATATCAGTAAAATGTAAATACATTATAAATGTTTTATTTTTACAGTTTGCCGTTTTGACAGAGTTTTTCTGATAAAAGTGTACTTTTTGCTTTACTTGCACACAGTCTGTATGCAGTTTGCAAAGCATACGTTAGTTGAAGTTACCTATTCATACGCTCTTAAAGTCAAAGCCACATCAATCAAGATTTAATGAACATTTTAACACCTAAATATATCTCGCTCCAGTATGTTTTAATTCAGACAAATAATGCTTAAAAAAAGGTCTATACAGCCTGAGACAAACAATACATTCAATTTTGCATTGTCCTCATTCATCCAACATTAAACTAAGCTGAAATGTAGAAGCAGATTATAGATATTAAGCCCAGTCTTCCATTCAATAACTTTTAAACAATCATCTCCTGTATGACCTTATCAGAGTTTTGTCTTATTATTAGAGAAGTATTTTCACAGAACTATTAAAGTTTAATTGGTGCTCATAAGAGCTCTCATCAGACTGGGATCTGGACAGGGGATCGACTACTTCAACAGTCTCATTTTATCTGTTATTCTGTTGTAGATATGAATTGTCTTTTCGGATGAACTACTTAGGCCAAGCTTCAACTGGAAGACAGATGACTTCAACTATGTCTTGAGAATACATTGTGAATGGTACAGAGCATTGTTGCCTTGCAATAAGAAGATCCTGGCTTTTCCCTGTGCATCCATCAGTTTTCTCAGGGTGTCCATAGTCCAAAAACATGACCGCATTGTTACTTAGTCTATATAAAAGTGCCCTTAGATATGAGTGTGTGTGCATGTTTGCCTGCCCTCTGATGGCCTACTTCCCCACAATGTACTCTGCCTCCCACCCAATGACCGAAGATAAGTAACCTTTCTATTGGGTATAGACGATGGCTGGATGATGCCGAGCTGTTAAGGGTTTACTTAAATGAGCTCAATGTATCCAGATACACTTCTCCATGCTCAAAAGTGTATACGAGGAGTTAATCCAGAACCTTTTAGCCAAATAGCTGTAGTAACATTCAACAGAAATTTCTCAAGCTGGTTCGTTTGGAATCTAAATTTAAAAAGCATGGTAATGTGTAAGATGTAGCTGTTGAATGTTGTGACCTCAAGGTAAACTCTGATCCATGTTGTATGTTATTGCCGTTGTATTGACACAAACGTGTGTGCTACAGAGCAACTAATTGCTGATGTAAATACTGTGATGCAAGCAATGAGGGTGAACTTAATTTTTCACACCCGCCTTCTGCGTTTTGCTTTGGTTTTTGGTAAATAAATCAAATGTGTCAGATAAATTTGTTATTTGTCACTCGAGGTTGTATTTGTTTTAAGACTTGGTTTGAACCAGATGATTTAGATATGGTCTAGCGGCATCCTTCGAATTAAGGAAGGGTATACTTACTTTTTCTGACACAATTTCTGAGATTGTGACAACAGATTAGTTTGGTTTTGATTTTTATAAATGTGTTAATTCTGTCTTAGACATTATAGATGAACCCAAATATTTAACAGTAGAACTTGTATGTTATCTAGAATCCAAGGATTTTAAGTGAGATGGTTGAAGAAAAAATAAAAACAAACATAAGGCCTTGTTGATTTTGTCAAATAGTTAAAACTCTATGTTTCTCTGGTGATGTGGAGACAGAAGGCCACCAGTAAAAGGCAGACTAGTTCATTTGGTGTTAGACAAATTTATAAGTTCCAGCAGTACCAGTAATCTATATTGAATGTGTATGTAAGAAACACTGCAATACTGCAAAAAATATTATGGTATTGGAACAAGCTGCTATAATATGTCTAAAGCTCCGTAAGGTGCTACAGACTTCTTTCTCTAAAATGTATTGTTTGTACATGTATCCAGCTTAGCTGAAAAGCTGCCATGTGTGCCTGCTTCTACTTTATATATATATATATATGTTTGTTGTACTGTGAGTCTTTGTTCCTCTGTTCAGACTTGCTTGTAATTACATGGTCCCAGTATACAGCTGCATACAACACCACCACATGTAAAAATGCTGAAAGAAAGAGAAGAAAGATGGGAACATGCAGATTCTCAAACGTTTTTGCATGTTGTTCAAAGTGATTTGAAGGAATTGAAAGATAAACTTCATCAGACGTGTTGAGTTTCCTGCTTGTTCTGTTTTAGCATTTTCACCCACATTGTCTATAGCAAAGTCAGAGCACAATCTCTGGGAAAAAGTTCCTACACATTTTCCCAAACTACTGTTATATTTTATACATATAGGTAAAATAAATCATACATATAAGTACAAATACATGTGTGTTTATAGATGGTGAAAAATCAATGCTGCAGCCTTTAACATCTGTTTTTTTCCCCTTCTTTGTCTTTTTAAACATTGTCATTATCCAAAGAAAGTTTATTTATTGGTTGGCAAAATAACCAGACTTCATTCAAATACAATGCTGCTATGAAAGAGGAGAGTTGCATTTGTCAACGCTCGTGTTTTTACTCAGTGTAATGAAAGTTCAATAAAGTTAAGGAAAAGAATCAACTTCTGCACTTGTTTGGTTATTTTCATAAAACTTTCACCAACCAGAAGTTCTTTTGTAAGAATATTACGTATTCATGTTCTAACAGATCCAAGCCCCTCAGCTGAAAGAGTTGATGCAAGGCAGAGAAGTGGTTCAGATGAATGGAATAAAAGAAGAGGTTACTGAGACAGATAATCCAGGAAGTGCTGGGTCTCCTTATCTTCCACTGATCACCTGTCAGAATGGGATCATAAATGATAAAAGGGAGTGAACAGGCTTGAAACCCAGATAACTAAGAGTTTAGTGTTTTCTCAAAAGCTGCACAAAGTAGATATTAATTGTGTCACAGTGAGCACTCTCAGTGGCTTCTGAAAAATATCACTCTTATTCCCACAGAATAGAAACCTGCCCTTTTTACCCAGCTCTGTGTGCTATAAGTAAACTAAACTCTGTTGAACTGTCAGTATGAACTCACTGAACCCAAACAGAAAAGATTACATACCTCACAGCACCACAGATATTGCTCAGGTCCAATCAAATCCTTGTACCATTCTTCTGACCGTGTGGAGGCTCTGCCTTCCCAAGAGAGCCCTTCAAAAGCAGAGGAACATGGAGTTTGATTCTATTTGAATCAAAGAGACAAATATGTAGAAATTGACAGCAGAACTATATTTTCTTGTGTTTTACTATAGTCCCTCTGGACTGGTTTTAGCCAGTGTTGTATTAGGTTAGTCCAGTGTCATGCCCCTCCAAGAGATAATACAGTTTTTCATGCTCTCTCTGCCCCATCCTCAATCAAATTGAAATACTATTGTGGATCTGAAGATATTTAATAATTTATCTGTACTGCCCACTGACTCCACCATTAAATTACCCAATTCTCAAAACAGCTGAAATGAGTGGTAGTAGTTCATTTCATTGCTTTAAGTTTCAAAACAATTTCCAAGTTCAGTTTCTTAACTCTATCAGCAACATTTTATCAAGACTGATTAAATTGGAATTAACAGACAGGTGATGTAAATTTTTTGCAGTAAAACTTTTTTAAATTGTAGAAATGTATTTGTCAACTTTTTCAGCCTGTTTTTCAAAAGGTATGTAGTTTAAAAAAAAATTTTTGAAAAATTTGCAACAGTATTGCTTATATTGAAGGCTTATCAGAAGAGATGAAAAGTGCATAGGCTTTGTCTCCATATGTCCTTTGTTCAAACAGTTATATGCATGTATAGACCTGATGGGAATGTCTAATAATCATACTGGACAAGGAAAAAGACAAGTACTGTATGCCAGAGATGAACAGGTTCTGATCCAAAATGTGCAGATTGACCCCAGAATAAAAGCCCAAGACTGTGTGTGGATGCTTGCTGAAGCTGATAAGACAATGTCAGTATTCACAGTGAAACAAGTCCTGTACCAACATGGGCTGAACTCTGCTTAACACCTCATAATGTTAAGGACCTTTTTACGTTTCTCCATAATATACTCTATCTGATTTTCCAAGTGAGTGTCTTATCAGAAACTACTCCCAAAAAATGAAGATAGTCAACCTCTCCACTATAAATACAATTTTCATAAACTCCAATTTTTTTATTTGTGAAAAATATAACTTTTGATTCTCAAATGAAAATTTAAATGCCTATTCTTTCCCCCACTTACCCAATTCATCAATGCCTGTGAAGTTTTAAAATAAAGTGTTCTAAATGTATCCCTCTTTTCCATAATGTTCCATCATCAGCAAAACGTGATTTGCCAAAACTTTAAGAAAGACTGATGATGATTTCAGTTATCAATCATAACTGAATATAATGTTGGGTTTACCATTCTTCCTTGAGGAGTTCCATTTTCTATATTAGGGTGTCGTTTGTGCTTATGGGCCGAACAACAGTTCAGCCTACCCACCCTTTTTGGTGTCCTTAGAGGGGGTACTGCAGAGTGCCCCTCATGGGGACTCCCTCGTTCTGTTGGGGGACTTCAACTCTCACATGCACAATGACAGTGAGACCTGGAAGGGCGTGGTTGGGAGGACCGCTCCCTCCGATCTGAACTCGAGTGGTGTTCTATTGTTGGACTTCTGTGCTCGTCACGGATTGTCCATAACGAACACCATGTTGCGGCCTACAGTGTCTATGTGTGCACTTGGCACCAGGACACTGTAGGCCGCAGTTCAATGATTGATTTTGTAATCGTTTCATCGGATCTGCAGCCGTATGTCTTGGACACTCGGGTGAAGAGAGGCGCAGAGTTTTCCACTGAGTGGTGAGTTGGCTCCGCTGGTGGGGGAGGATGCCAGTCAGACCTGGCAGGCCCAAATGTGTTGCGAGGTGCTGCCGACCTTGACTCAGGACGTTGTGGACCGGTGGTCGGAATCCCCTGTGAGACAGAGCTTTGAAGCAGAGCTTCGAACATGTTGCGGGGGATGTGGGGTACATTGAGACTGAGTGGACCATGTTCCGTACCTCCATTGTCGAGGCAGCTTATCGGAGCTGTGGTCACAAGGTTGTCGGTGCCTTTCATGGCAGCAAGCCTCTAACCCGTTGGTGGACACCTTCGGTGAAGGATGCTGTCAGGCTGAAGAAGGAGTTCTATGGGCCCTTTTTGGCCTGTGGGACTCTGGAAGCAGCTGATGGGTACCGGCAGGCGAAGCAGCATGCAGCTTGGGTGGTTGCTGAGGCAAAACTTTGGGCGTAGGAGGAGTTCAGAGAGGCCATGGAGAAAGACTTCCGCATGGGTTAGAAGCGATTCTGGTCCACCATCCGGCGTTTCAGTAGGGGGAAACAGTGTAGCAGCAACACTGTTTACAGTGGGGCTGGTGTGCTGCTGACTTCGACTCGGGACGTTGTGGGCCGGTGGGCGGAATACTTCGAAGACCTCCTCAATCCCATCGACATGCCTTCCATTGAGGAAGCTGAGCCTGGGGACCAGGTCGCAGAGGTGGTTAAAAAGCTCCTCGGTGGCAGGGCCCCGGGGGGGGGGGGGGGGGGGGGGGGGGTGGATGAGATTCACCCGGAGTTTCTTAAGGCTCTGGATGTTGTAGGGTTGTGTTGGTTAATGCGACTCTGCAGTATCGCATGGACATCGGGGGCAGACTAGGGAGGTGGTCCCCCTGTTTAAAAAGGGGGATTGGAGGGTGTGCTCCAACTATAAAGGGATCACACTCTTAAGCATCCCTGGCAAGGTCTACTCAGGGGTCCTGGAGAGGAGGGTCTGTCGGATAGTCGAACCTCGGATTTTGGAAGATCATGAGCACCCTCAGCAAGGTGCTCATGATCTATGGCCATCCATGGCCATGGTCTTGAAACGGAAAAGGGTAGAGTGCCTTTTGTGGATTGAGGGGGGTGTCCTGCCCCAAGTGGAGGAGTTCAAGTGTCCTGGGATCTTGTTTACAAATGAGGGAAGAAGCGAGCGGGAGATTGGCAGACGGACTGGCGTAACATCTGCCGTGAAGCGGGCATTGTACTGGTACATTGTGGTGAAGAGAGAGCTGAGTCAAAAAGCGAAGCTCTTGAATTATCGGTTGATCTATGTTCCCACCCTCATCTATGGTCATAGATGAGCATGACCCAAAGCTTGGTCATGACCGAAAGAATGAGATTGCAGATGCAAGCAGCCGAAATTGTTTTTATTTCATTGCATAAGCTGTATTAATACGCTCATAAGATTGAAATATTTGTCTTAAAAATACACAAACAGTGATAGAATAAAAGTGCAATAAGACACAAATGTATTTATTTATCATACTGGGAACACTGGCCATAGGCAGGGGTTCAGTCTGCTGGTCAAACTGGGAGAAGTCCAGTGAGCTCTGAGACGTCCTGGCACTCAGGCTAAAGCCAAGGATAAAAGAGAAATTATCCAAAAGTGTAATAAAAACTACTTATCTGATTGTGGAAAAAAACTATATTTTCATCATGTTGGGCTCTGACTGTAGCATCTTTATAGCTAAATACCAACATTGTGAAGCTGAGCTGTGACACAGAAGAACAGCAGCTCAGCTCTGATCCTGACTGACCTTTTCTCACAAAATCCCCTGGTTTTTAACTGAACTTCCCCTTTAATAGCGGTTTCTCATCAGCTCTGTCTCATTAGAAAACAGTATGAAAATGATACCTGCGCTAAGAAAATAACAATCAGTGTTTACTTTGAGCTACGTAGAAAATATTTATTGGTTGTTTAGAAGCTAGTTTCTGGCTGCAAAGTCAAGAAATAAATTTTTTCTGCTCGTAAAAATTATATTATTTTCTTTCCTCCTTACCTGTGAAAGAAAATGCCAATGAATCCAGTTTGTATTGTAAAATGATTGAAACAAGTCCACACAGCACATGACATAGGGAGCTCCGAACGCTCTGCCACATACAAGATGGTAGAGGCGACTACACAGAGGCGCCGTATCCACCTTAATCCTAGGCCCCAAGAGGCTTTGTGTGATTTATGGACACGACATTCGCCACAAACCGGAACCACCATTTGAAAAAAAAAAAAGATTTTTTTTTCAGGCTAAAAAATTTGTGACAATGTTGTCACAAAGCTTAAATGTGACAGTATTGTTTTACCGCAACCTACAGTTAATGCGGGGAGGGATGGCAATTTGAAGAAATGGCTTTTTTCTTCAAGTCTGTCATGTAGCTACTGCATTGACTCAGTTGCTCCGGACGCAGATGCGGGTTTTCTTCCTTTGGCTTTTCTTCCACACAATGAAATGAGCACATAAAGCATTTTGGGTTCTCTGTTCACATTTAGAATGTTTTGCCAATTTTTTGTTTTCATTTTCTCATCTGTCGTGAGGCAATGAAATCTACGTCTTTTGTTTTGCGAGCACGTTCAAGACACACTTGCGGCATCCACAAACTACCGGTAAATGTCTGATTACTAGAGAACAGCCAGAATCAGCACAACAGTTACCTGAGCTCCACAAGGGCATCTTTTGACAATTTCCAGTGTCAAGTTGCTCTCTATAACAGATTAATGTGTGATCTGGTTCAGTTCTGGTCGAGTGGGGAGATTCTTCATATTGCGGTTTGGGGAGCAACAGCTGCAGTCTTTTCTCCGCTGATTTGCAGCGACACTCAGCAACGGAGAACTTTGAGGTTCTGGTTGTGATGGACTAAATGAACCCAGATATTTTATTTTGTCTTATAAATACATTTTGATGGGCCAATCATCAAAATTAGACTCATATCATGAAGTTTACTACTTTTTAAATTCAAACAAAAAATAAAATTTACATCACACTAAGCTACTATTATGTAGTTCTGGTGTTTTATGTCGGCACAAACCTGCAGCTCAGAACTCTGACCAGCTTCTCTGCTTTTCTCTATATTGCTGTCAGTTGTTCGGAGAATCAAGCTGCTAGCAGCGATGCTAACTCACCATCATTCTGTTACAAAATGTAATGATCGTGTTCCTGTTGCTCCCTGTGAGGGTTTTACACAGACCAGCCAGAAAGACTTGAATAAATTTCAAAAAATTTTCTTAATTTATTACAAAAAAAGTCAAAAGAATAGTTTCAAAATGATAAATCGGGCCCAAAATTGAGATCAACATAATAAACTACAATTCAGGTAGTGACACAAAGAACTGACCTCACAAACAAAACATGAAGGGAGCTTAAATAGCTGCTGATCAGATCACTGCTATACACAAAGGGGATAATTAAACACACAAGAACATAAAAAAATACTAAGATACACATTACTAAATCTTTAAATTAAATAAATTAGAACTCAACTAACCTTCAAAAAAAAAGAAAGAAAAAATGAACATTAAAGAAATGGTCAAATTTAAGTAAAGACCAAATGTGCCCTTCCCCTGGGAAGCAGATGGAACGACCGAGTGGGAAAGTTGACAGCCATATAAGGTCATCAGCTGGTGCTCATCTTTTTGATTTCAGCTGCAGGTCCAGAGGAAACTGGTAACTCAAAAAAAAAGAAATTAATTTGTTGCTTTTAGCAAAAAATACAAAGAACTGACAGATAAAGTTAACTAAATAGGTGCACTACAAAAAGTTAACTAAACAATCAGATTAATGAAAACAATTTTAAAGATACAAATCCAAACTATTCACAAACCAATATGCAAAGAAATATTAAGGAAGAATAGAAAACAATTACCATTACTACCTGTGTGTGACAATAGGGTGAGCTGTTGCACTTAATTAAAATCTGCTCTCATCACTCATCTCATTCTCCTTCTGTCACTGCTGACCAGGTGCGGCGTCAGACCGGGTGTGTCTGAGGATTCTAAAGGCTTGTGCTGTGGAATTAGGAGAACCTCTACAGCATGTCTTTAACCTGAGTCTGCAACTGGTGTGATTCCCACACTATGGAAAACATCCTGTATAGTTCCTGCTCCAAAAAAGGGTCACCCAAGTGAGCCAATTGACTATAGGCCAGTTGCTATGACGTCCTACGTCATGAAAACATTGGAGCGACTGGTCTTGAACATCATGCAACCCCAGGTGCAGAGCGTGAGGGACCCTCTTCAGTTCGCCTACCGAGAGAAGGTGGGTGTTGAGGATGCTGTACTCTACCTGCTTCATTGTTCCCTCTCCTATCTGGATGGAGGGAGCTGCTCTGTAAGGATGCTTTTTTGACTTCTCTAGTGCCCTCAATACTATCCAGCCCCACCTACTGCAGGAGAAACTGAACAGCATGGTTGTGGACCCCCATCTGTTGTGATGGCTAACAGACTACTTGACCAACAGACCACAGTTCATCAGGATGACGAGCTGTAGGTCCACCACTCTGACCAGCAACACAGGTGCTCCACAGGGCACGGTTCTTTCACCCTTCCTCTTCGCCCTCTACACCTCTGACTTTAAATACAACTCAGTAAAATGCCACATGCAAAAATTTTTGAATGATACTGCCATTGCGGCATGTATAAAAGAGGGTGGAGAGGGGGAGTACAGGAGCCTGGTGAAGGACTTCGGGGCATGGTGCCACATGAATAAACTCCAACTGAACATCGCTAAAACAAAATCGATGGTTCTTGACTTCCACAGGGTGCCCCCCCTTTCCTCAGTCTATTATCATCTATGATATAGAGGTGGAGGTGATCAGCACATAAATACCTGGGCCAACAACCGGACAATTTTCTAATATAAACAATGTGTACAAGAAAGCAGAGAGTAGAATGTACTTTTAGAGGAGATTGGCCTTCTTCAATGTGTGCTCTAAGCTCCTGTACATGTTTCATAAGTCCATTGTATCTACTGTTATATTCTACGCAATTGTTTGTTGGGGGCAATGCAAAGAAGAGAGACACACAGAGACTGAACCGCCTCATCTGCAGAGGTAGCTCTGTGGTTGGTGTGAGCCTGGAGACGGTGGTGGAACAGAGGACACTGTCTAAACTCAGTTCAGTCCTAGAGGACACCAGCCATCCCCTGCACTGTTTTGTCCAACCAGAGGAGCTCCCTCAGTGAAAGGTTCTTCTCACTGGGTTGTTCAACTGAGAGGATGAAGAACTCCTTTGTCTCTTGGGCCATCAGCTCTTTAATGTTGCTATCTCTGGGCGGGGCAAGAGAGGCAGACGGGGTAACTAGTATTTTAACACACTTAAGCACTTTACACGACCTCTTTTAGTGGTAATGTATTTCTTGTACCTTTTAAGGATGTCTCCAGTTGTACGATCTTAATGCTGTGTGGATGTGAAATAATGTGTGAGCAACAGACAACCTTAATTCCCTTATAGGACTAATAAAGTCGCGGGGGTAGCAACTTAAGAAGGGAAGTTCATACTTCTTTCTCCCCAGCCACTTCTTTCAGCTCATCTGGGGGAATCCCAAGGCGTTCCCAGGCCAGCCTGGAGACATAGTCCCTCCATCATGTCCTGGGTCTTCCAAGAGGCCTCCTCCTGGTGGGACGTGCCCGAAACACCTCACCAGGGAGGCGTCCAAGAGGCATCCTGACCAGATGCTCAAGCCACCCCAACTGGCTCCTCTCGATGTGGAGGAGCAGCGGCTCTACTTTGAGTCCCTCCCGAATTACCAAGCTTCTCACCCTATCTAAGGGAGAGCCCAGCCACCCTACGGAGAAAACCCATTTCGGTTGCTTGTAACTGAGATCTCGTACTTATTCATTTCAGTAATCTAAAATTAATAGAAAAAATGAAAGGAACATACTGTACTCAGACTGCTGCATGTAAAACTCATGAACAGTAAAAATTGTGCTAGTATCAGTATTGGACCAAAGAAATCGAGACAGTTGCCAGCCTTTAATATTGTGAAGCTTTTGATGGGTCAGATAGACTCAAAAAATTGTAACAGCAATGTTTGCAGGGGGCCCAATTTAATTTTGGGGCATGGAGCCCAAGATTCCTGCTGACCATATTTTCTGTCTTTTACTTTGATCATTATTGTTACACTTAGTGTTAATATGTGTGTAATACGGAAGAAATCACGTCCAGTGTTCGGGCCTTTGAGATGCGTCCTGGTCACTGTTGCCCCTTTCTTGTCCCCTAAGAGTAAAAATCCAGACATGGCACTACTTCTTGAATACACAAATATCTTAATATCTTCCAAGGCACTTTACAGTATTATAGTAACTCCAATATGCGCAGGATCTAACGTTGAAGCTGTAAGACTGAAATGTCCCAGCGAACGTGAACGCTTCAAATAACGGCACAGTGCGCGGAGGTTGCAGCAGCATCAGCAAACAACTGCATCTGAGCGTGGACAGTATCGTGCACTGAGTCCCCGAAGCAGGTGGGTGGCTAGTCATCGCTCCTTCGGTTTCTGTCTCTCTGTGGACTGGGTGTTTTTCTCCCTGTCTGATTTGCTCCGCCGTTATTTGCACAGGTGCATATTTAGATCAGCGTCCTTCAGAACATGAAGACAGGAGGATGTGTTTGCGTCACACTGCAGTCTGCTGCCTGTACACCGCAGCTGCTTTACAGCTGTCATCGTTTCTCTTTGGCGCAAAGAATCTGCTGCAGCGGCAGAAGAAGGAGGAATCTGAGGGGAGATCAGTTTTTAACCGTGCTGATTGCAGTATAGTGATTGCCAATGTTTTGCTGTCATCAAAGGAAAAGATCTGTCACGGTGTAATGGAGCATGCTGGTTGTGGAAAAGCATTTTATTTGTCCTATTCGTTCCAAAAGACCAGGAGAGTTAGGCTTTCAGAATAAATAGTTTCATGTGGATGTTGATTGATGCACTGCAATGATCTGCAAGATGCAGACAGGCACGTGCATTGGAGGTGGGGCGGGGGCAAAGAGGGGTGGGGTGGGCGTGGCGGGGTTGGGGGGGGGGGGGGGTTGAGAGCCAGCCACTTTTATCCGTGATGGCCCAATATTTTTTATGTGTGTGTCAGAAGGCTTGTTTGTGCCCCTCAGCAATAATCTATAGCTAAATAGAATATTTCCACAGAGTAAATCAGGCTAAATTTTGTTTAGCCTTTCTTTTTAATTCGATAAATCAAAGAACATGATCCTCACAGTGCTGCCTGCTGTGGGTTTGTTGAAGTAGGTATAGCATCAGCAACTTCAAATCCAAGGAATCTACATTCCTTTGATTGTAGATTTAATCCAAGGAATAGGGTTATTCCTTGGATTAAGGAATAACCTTAATCCAAGGTTATTCCTTAACCTTGGTTTTGATACATCCTTGCTCAGGTGGGCAAACAGGAGTCTCTGTTATATGTTCATGACATGGGATGTCAGGGCAACAGGTATATAGTCATTTATGACTGATGGGTGAGTTTTCTTTGGTACTAGAACCCGGGAGGATGTATTCCACAACAGGACTTTAGCCTCTTGGGTCAGGCTAAGGTTGAAGAGACATTGCAGAATCCCACAGAGCTGTTTACACAGGCTTTCAGGACTCCTGGGCCGACACCATCCACACCTGCAGCCTTATTCCAGCTCAGTCTTTCCAGCTGCCTCTAAACTTGCCTTCTAGATACAGAAAAGTTAGAGGAGAGGCAAAGTGAGCAGCAGCATTTCTTGATTTGGTTGAAGTCAAACTTGTGAAAGCAAAAGAGTCCATGACTGAGGTGCAAGGAAGGACATTTGAAGTTTGTCAGAAAAGCTGTGGATCAGAAGACGTTTGTTTGGCTGGGGACAGGAGAGGATGAGGATGAGCTTGTTCTTGAGCTGAACCTGTTAAAAAATGTGTTCAGCTCATTTGCTCTATACAGACTTCCATCTATCTGATCCTCCTTTTGCTTGAAGCCTGTAATCTTCCTAATCCCTGACCACACATCTCTGATATTGTTCCTCTACAGTTTGTTCAACAGCTTCTTCCTGTACTTCTCTTTGCTGTCTCTAATCTTTCCTTTGAACTGCTTCTGTATACTCCTCAATAACTCTAGTTCCCTAAAGGTTCTTTTTTTCTTGTTTAACAGTTTCTTTAGGTCACTGGTGATCGAGGGCTTGTTTTTCGGGAGTCACCTTACTGTTCAGGTGGCAATGCTGTTGTCCACACAGAAGTTTATATAGTTAGTCACACACTCAGTCATTGCACTGACGTCTTCTTTTTGTGGCTGGCAGAGAGTTGTCCAATTGGTTGCTTCAAAACAAACCTGGAGGGCCTCTTCTGGTTCCTGTGAACATTTCCTAACAGCCATCTTTTTAACTGTCAGCCTCCTCACCATAGGTTTGTATTCAGAACAGAAAAAAGCAAGATTATGGTCCAATTTTCCAGAGGAGGTCATGATTTGGAGGCATTTGTATCCTTGACATTGGCATAAAACAAATCCAAAATTGCAATAAAAAGACGTGCTCAGTGTTTGTGGAAGTAAACATGGATGCTAACAGTGGAGCATAGCTTACATGTTTTAAGTTATTGTCCAACCAGAGTCGGCATATTAACAACCACATCCTCATTATAGTCCATCAGGGTTGTTGTTTACTTTCCTGCTTGTATGAATCAGGACAAAGAATAGAGACATTTGTCAAGGATCAATGATGTTCAGGTCAGATACGTATCAGATACCCAAGTGGCCTGGGTGACTCCCGAAAAACAAGCCCTCGATCACCAGTGACCTAAAGAAAGTCTGAACAACCTGTGTTGTTCAGACTGTCATGACAATATCAGATACAAGTCACATTACATTAAAAATCAATCACAATTCGGTCACTTCAGGCTGCACTGTGAATGCAGCCTCATTGATCTTTCTTCAAACTTATACTGTCTTGAATTGACTTTGGGAAGTAATTATTTACATGAATGTCAAAAATGGAGAGACTCCTGTTGAGAGACCCCCTAACTTGGCAATCAACATATCAGGATTCCGGGTGCTAGCCCTTACAAGAGGGACAACTGTAGGAGAGAAAATGATCACGAGATGAAATCCCTGCTCTTTCACTTACACTTGTACTGAGTATGGAGAAGAGCACACAAGTCCGCTCATGGATCATTTTGGTTATGGCACTAACTCACCCCTCTTACAAAGAATTTAATTCAATCTTTTGCACATTTCAAATCAAACTAAGTAATACAGATAATCAAAATAATTGAATCTAATATTAATTAGGTCAAACTACTCAGTATTATGCCCTGCAACACATTCAGTTTGCTTATTGCCATGGACATGGTGTAGAACAGGTGTGTCAAACTCATTTTTGTTTTGGGCCAAATCAAGACCATGAAGGTTCTTAAAGGGCCGGTTGTGCCAGAATGTGTAGATAAAATCTGTTCACAAACTGTTAATATTGTTTTTAATTCTTAAAAAATGTTTTCAGTCCCTTCAGGAACTTATAATAAATGTAACTGTTTATTTACTCGTTGTATAAATCATGAACTATAATCATACATCAACTAAATTCTCAAAAAATTGGAGGGATTGGTTGATATAAATTGGCAGTAAACAGATAAAAACTGCATTGATATGATTGATAATATAATATTTAATCACACTTAGTGTTTAGTGTAGTCTGTGGAGGGCCACATAAAAAGCTATGGCGGGCCGGATTTGGCCCCCGGGCCTTGAGTTTGACACGTGTAGTGTAGAAGATGTCATCATGTACCTGATTCAACAAATTCACTTTCACCAGTGCAAAGCAGGCAACTGTGGGATCATGTTCTTTGATTTCTCCACTGCATTTAACAGTATTCAGCTTGATCTATTTTGTCAGGAACTCCAGGATTTCCTGAATATATGCTCTATGTATATAATCTTTTTAGAGGCAGACTAACAGATCTTGGAAGGCCAGATTTTTTTGCTGATTGGCAGGTGTTCAAATACTTTTTAGCAGCAGTAACATAGGCAAATCATTAAAAACTCACATTGTGATTTTTTTTATTTTTATTTTTATTTTTATTTTTAGAATATGTCTCTCACAGTGGACATGCACCGAAGATAAAAGTTTCAGATTTGCTTATCTATCTCAATGGAAGTCTGGGAACAGATTAACAAATTACACTGGACGACCTCGAGCTCCGATACATGGAGGTTTTTTTGTTGGAAAAACTCTGTTCGATATTTTGTAACTCCAGTTCAGAAAAAACATCGAGGAAGCGGTGACTCATGCTGGAGACTCTGTGGAACCAATGAAGCAAATCATCACCACATCTTCTGGGGTTGTCCGGTGATCAAAGTGTTTTGGGAACAAATATCTTCCCACCTAAACAATATCTTTACTGAAAAAATCCCATATAAATGTGAATCCCTATACCTGGGAATCATTTCATTTGATAACTGGACTCCTGAAGATAAAAAACTGCTGTTAGTGCTTCTGGCAGCAGGCAAAGGACAATCACAAGAAAATGGTTAAAGCCTGAAGCTCCTACAGTTGAAGACTGGGTCAACATTGTACAGGACATTTACATTCTGGAGAAATTGTCCTTTTCTGTTCAAGGTCGAAGGGAATCTTTTTTCAGGATCTGGTCTAAATGGACTAACTATGTCAAATCTGTAATTCCTGTGGACTAAAGATGTCTATCACATGCATTTCAGGTGGTGCTACATAGAATATCCTGGCTCAGGATGGCAAACTTGTACTCCTGATTGTGTCTCTTCCCCAACCCAACATGAGTAAACCCAGACTAGACCCGCTCAACCCCCCACTCACTCTTTTGTTATGTATGTTCTGTTATTATAAAAAAAAACCTGGATTGGCTTATGTTATTTCTTTGCATATCCCCATTGTGATGGAATCTAGATTGTATATGTAATTTCATCCTGCCTTTCCAAATAAAAAATTTAAATATAAAAAAAAAAGTTTCAGATTTGCAAAGTCGCAGGGTGTTAACATACTTATATGTATTTTTATATACTGTCCCACAACAGTAATGCACAGTGGCTGATATGTGAGAGGCCCACAGCAACCTCCCTGAGCAAGCCCCGGTAACCATCACTGTGACAGATGTACAAGAAAGAGTCTCAGGCATGAAAAACTGGACAGCACCAGGGCCTGACATGATCCATGCCTACTGGCTAAAGAAACTCACTGCCCTCCATGAGCGACTGGCAGCCCAAATGAACCAGCTGCTACAAAGTGGGACTCACCCTGAATGGTTAACTGCCTCTCCGTAACCTGGAAGCTCATGTCAGGCATCATAGCAGCCAAGATAAGCAAACACATGGATAAACACATGAGCACGGCACAGAAGGGTGTTGGTGTAAATATTCCTTTCCTTCCATTCCTTCCCCAGTCTTTGCATGTATCCTCTCTGATTAGGGTTACTTGAGTAGTAGCATTCCAACAGATCCACATTTTCACCTCTCGCTCATTTCCATCTTGTTCCAGCAGCCCTTTTGTCATCAAGGTGCTCTGGTTCCCCAACACCTGACGCAGACCTTGTTTGGCCGGGCGACATCTGAGCATAGTAAAAGCACCTTTCCTGATAATAATGTCAATTTTTTTTTAAACAAATTGAAATTTACTGAAATAGTGATAAATCAAAATGTTTTATAATAAGAAATTGTTGGGAAATCGAATTCAAAATGTGTGAGAAGAGGTAAAGATGAAAATTTTTAAAACAAGGCTTCTTACTAAAACTTATGGTTTCTTCTTCTGCTTCGTTGTCTGACTTCTCAGTAGACTGCATCTGCATCTTTCTCACCCTCATTGCCGCTAGGGTGTCGAGAATAGGGTGGCATGCTGGTGGTAGTTTATTTGTTGGGAATTGATTCAAAAACAATCTGAATCTGTCCAAATTCCAAAAATCAGAAAACACTTCACCTCTCTGTGTTCTTTTATAGGTCTAGTGGGGTGCTTCTAAACAGAAAAATGGAAGCAAAAAAGTAGAAGGAAGAATAGATGGATTCCATCTCTATGAAAGGTTGTACAAGGAGCCCTGTGTTCCTCACAGCTTCTTCCTCACACTTCAGCCAACCACCAGCTTGTATGTTCCACTGCAACAAACCTGGGGATTCAGGACCTTCCTGGCTCGTCCCTACCACAGTGGCTGTCCTTGGGTCAGGTGACTTCTCCAAGAGCATCACTATTCGCTTACTTCGTTGTGGCTTCAAGGTGGTGATAGGCAGCCGCCGTCCCAAACTGGCGTCTCATTTCTTCCCACATGTGGTTGACGTGTCACACTATGAGGATGCCATCAAGAAATCTAACATTCTATTCTTAGCTATCCATCGAGAACACTATTCAGTGTTGTGGGACCTCAAGCATCTCATGGCAGGTATTAATCCACCTACACTCACACTTCATTTTTATCCAGGGTATGAAAATTAGCACAGATCACAACAATCACAATAAAAACAAAATAGTTCACATATTAAAATTTGTGCTGTGTCCAGACATGAGAGATAATTTATTTAAAAAAAAATACTCGATCTCCTCTGCCTCCTTGTGTTCTCCATAATTACTCAACCATGTCAGAAACAACCAATCAGAGCCAGCATTACTCAACCAGGCATGCTCTCAGGAAGTTTGGATTTAGTAACTCAGGATTGTTTATTTTGATGTAACCTGCATTTGACTTTGAATGAATGTTTCCCTTTTATTAGACGATATTTGATGTGATAAGTCTTATGAGATTTATTTGACATATATAATTTAGGGTACAGAGAACATTACAGTTAAATGTTGTTTAATTGGTTCAGTTGTCCTTTTGGCTGAGTCAAGTATGTTGCATGTTTACGTGAATTAGGTGAATTTATTACCAGATAATTTTTTAATTTTGCATATCACATAGCAGCATTTATACCTACCACAAAAAAATCAACAACAATCAGCAGAGATCGGCCTCATTGGTAATCAATATTGGAAAAAAAACTGATTGGAGCATCACCAGTTTCATATATCTATGTATATTTATTTAAAGTGTCATTAACGTATGGCATCGTCTCCAACATGCTTGATATCATTTTCTAGACCAAATCCTGACTGACGGGACTAATTCTTGTCCCACAATTAGCATCTGAAGTAAATCACAGTTTTTTTTACCCCAAATCTTTGAGAAACTGTTTGACTCTGAACATGTTACTCCACCATCCTGGAAGATATACAGATAATCATAAAACATGCTTGGTTTCGTTCTTCACACTACTGACAAGTAATGCTGCTTGTCAGTAGTGTTACTCTTGAAGCCTGCAAGCATTCCAGTGTGTATTGAAGAAGTACTTACAAAATCCACACAAAATCTGATGAATGATGAACTTTACTTGTCTTTAAGCAAAAACTATTTTTCTAACCCTAACCCCAACCCTTCAGTCTTGCACAGCATTCCATGGTAAAAAAAAACAACAACAAAAAACCCTTTAGAGCCCAGCTAATCAAGTCACATCTGATGAACTTTCTGACTGCTGTAACACAACACTTATTTTCAAATAATTCCACTAGGTGGTGCTTTTCTACAAAAAACATTCTAAAAGAGAATCTTACTCTTAAGAAAATATCTAAATATTCAAAAGGCTTACACACAATAATAAACTTGACATTTTTGGCTCTTACAGGCAAACATCTGAGCACAACATCTCTCAGAAGACAGGAATAAAAGTTTAACAGGTTTATGTGTACAAGTAGAAAATTAATTGTGACGACGACCAGTGATGGCATGGTTACTTTGAAAAAGTAACTTTAATCAGATTACAGATTATGCTCTAAAAAGTAACTTAGATTACTGATTACTTGATTTGGAAAGTAACATTAAAAGTAAGCTTTTTAGTTACTTTCAGTGCTACATGACACAATAAAATGTGAAATATGATCTGAACTGCTAATCAAATTGATCACATTCCCATAAAAACACCTAGATATTAAATACTTGCAGCTGAAATAAGTTTAACAAATATTAAAATCCGAACAAACTCTTTGTTCCGCTTATCTAAAAAGATAACGTCCTGGAACTGTCTGCACCATTAAACATAGCAATTGAGGCAATACCCCAATGGTAAACAATGCACAACTATGAACACTGACCAAACAACAACAAGCAAGTCCCCAAGCACCAGGCCTCACCATGACTGTTCTCACCCTCTCCCACTGCATGAAGCTGTAATGTCGGCCATCATGGCCATCATGGCCGACATTACAGCAGCCACTTTGAACAAAAACAAAGAACAATGCACATGCTCTGCATGCTCTTTAATTCTTGTGTTTTATTTATTTGCTATTTCAATAAATATCAATGTATATAATTAAATAAAATAATGATAGCTATTACAGTGTACACAGAGCATTACAAGAACAAAGAAGCCTCAGTGAGGCTCCAGTCCTGTCTTCTCAGTAAAGTGAAGTTCAAAAGACTTGGATGGTTTGTGAATGTCATGTCACTATAAAGCAGACTTTTGGACACAGTGTTGTCCCATTAATGCGACACATTAGTCAACACCTCCGCACATTAATCCAGCCCAGTTAGTGACTTTTTTTTTCATGTCAAATTATTATGTGTCTCTATAAAGCCAGCTTTGCTAAAATCATGTCACCTTTCTTAGAGCTTCTTTTCTATGTGATGAAAAAAGTTAGATGTAGGTAGACATCGACAGACGTAGTTAGACATAGCTGCTGAATTAGCTGCCACCATTGGATTTATACAGCGCAATTCTGACAATTAGACAGAAATCTTCTGCCTCTCAAAGAAAACCACTGTGCGTGTCTTGGCAAGGGCTCAAATCCCATCTCATTATTCGTGGGACCAGAAACAGAAACATTTCTTCAGACCAATCTTGGGGGGTTGGCAAAGTTACAGTGAAATGTAACGTAAAATGTGGTTGAAAAAGCTTTAAAAATGACGAGTAATGCATCTCAAACGTGTTTTTCTCGGTAAGCAAACTATTGAGAAATAAAACTAAAATTCTTTGAAAACAACATACATGAAATCCTGCTCTCAGACTGATCATGTGAACTCTTAGAGTATGGCAGAAAAATTCCCCCATACTAGGGCTTATGTCTGCTGATTTCAAAACCCAAATAAGCAACTTCAAAACTTCAAACACGAGTCCAAAAAAAGCACATTTCATGACTCATTAAATTTGCAAGAGACTTTAGAAAAAACAAGCCCAAAAGTGCTTAATCGGACTTGGGGACAAAAACTCAAAATAGTTTGGTTGTTTTCTAGGAAAAGTCCTTGTTGATGTGAGTAACAATCGGAGAATGAACCAGTATCCAGAATCGAATGCTGAGTATCTGGCTGCACTTCTGCCAGACTCTGTCGTGGTTAAAGGCTTCAACATCATCTCTGCCTGGGCCATGCAACAGAGTTACCCAAAAGATGCCAGCACCCAGGTACAACTGAATTTCATCCATCCATTGATTAACCGGTGTCTCTGTACTTCCAAAAATAAACAGGCTAAAGTAAATAAACGAGTCCAGTCGGAGGAAAAAAGCCTACATACTCCACCCTTACTTGCCTGCTATTACAGTCATGCTGATTTTTTTGCCTCAGAAACAGAGTTGGTTTCTCAAGGTCTCTTAACACTCTGTTGGTTTTTCTGTTATCTGCATAAAGTATGAATACTGTTGTCATCCTTCACTTTCATAAGACTGAGGAATGTGTCTCATGTATATGAAAGAAATGACACAACATGTTGAGATCCTAGTAATAAGTTCTGATGGTGATCCAAAAAAGCTCCTAAACTCATGGAATACAAGAGTTGTGTCTGCCAAAGACAGTTTGGGACACAGATCATTATCATCTTACCTCTTTGCCTTCTTCCTTCACTTTTAACCTGCATTTCTTGCTCTGACCCTGGCTCTGATAGGTCTTCATCTGCAGTGACTCAAGAGAGGCTCGCCAGTTGATCATGGAATTAGCACGCCAGCTCAACTTCCAGCCTGTAGATATGGGTCCCCTGTCTTTGTCCCGATACGTCGAGAACATCCCTGTCCAGTTATTCCCTGGTTGGAAGGGCCCTGTCCTTGCTGCTGTTGCCCTCTCCATCTTCTTTTTTGGTTATTCTTTTGTACGTGATATACTTCACCCATATGTGAAGCACAAGCAGAGTGACTTCTATAAGATTCCCATAGAGATAGTGAATCACACCTTGCCCACAGTTGCCATCACTCTCTTGGCCCTGGTGTACCTGGCTGGCCAGCTGGCTGCAGCACACCAGCTTTACTATGGAACCAAGTACAAGCAGTTCCCTCATTGGTTGGAAAGCTGGCTACAGAGCAGGAAACAACTGGGTCTGATCAGCTTTTTCCTGGCTGCTGTCCACATTCTCTACAGCCTCTCTCTGCCCCTGAGAAAGTCTGAGAGGTACCTGCTACTCAACACCGCCTACCAGCAGGTTAGTAATGAAAAAAATTAACTGTTTTTTAGAGAACATGACATTTTTGTCTCAATCTTTTATGGTGCTATGCATGTGTCTGATGCTTCAAGTTCAATGCGTATGCACTTTGAATGCAGGCTTGACATTTTGCTCTACACCTAGTGTTTCGGGCGTAAGGCGAGTCTGGTTTACATTCAAAGTGGAGACACGTCTGACACATCAAAATAGCTCTGGTTGTTGTTTTTCATTGCTGGCCTACTTGTTGGACGCACTTGACGCGTCAAGCAGTTCAAATTACACCATGCCAGACATAAAACTTGTGGCATGCCTCCACATACTGTAAACCTGACGCTCAAAACACGCTTGGTGTGAACTCAACATTAGATGTTACTTAGCAGAAGTAGGCATCAAAGTACAGTGTATCCCACCGGTTTGTGGTTCAGGATTCTTGTATTCACCTATTCATAGATTTTTCTGTAGAACTGCAAACTCCAAATTACTGTTGGAAAATTTCTTGTTCACAGATTTTGTTCATATAACAAATCTAAGATATTCTAAAGAAAAAGCAACTTGGGAAGATGAAATACAAAGTACGAGGCCATTTGACATAGTATCGGCTGGTATTTGCAAATTAGCCAATCCAGGAGATCCATTTATTTTCCTTGGACCTGATTGGCTGCACACCAGAGAGCAGAGATAAGAAGATTATAGATGTTACTTCTGTGTTAATGCTAACATAGTTTTCACAATGTATTAATGCATATTCATATATATTTAGAGTATAAAAAATTACAACAGGCAGTTCTAAGTATTTGCAGAGTACTTGCAGACTTTAGGTATTCATGGATGGTTATGGTACTTAGCCTTGACAAATACCAGCAACCCACGGCATGTATGTGGTGTCTAAAAAGTGTATATCATTGCCAGTACCTTACAGTCAAGAGAGTCTTTTACAAGTTTCCCATAGAGGTGGTGAATCGCACCATCACACAAAGAAAGCTGCTGTCACTCTCTTGGCCCCTGTGTACAAGACTGACAACACGTGTTTGTTCTGCTGTAATTACAAATACTATGATCATGGCAAGTGCCTATACTTTGCCTAAAATTGCAAATTTTTAGCATCAGAACACTGATTTCCAATTGACAGGCATACTTTGGCAGGTGCCATTTAAATTTCTTCAAAATTTTTCTAGTTGTATTTAGAATTCATTGAAATGCATTATTTGAACTAACAGTTTTATTTGAAACAGGAAATGGGACTGTTGTTTTTAGTTGTCTCAGCAGTTCTTTTCTGTCAGTCCTCTGTTTGTTTCTCTGATCAGTCCTCTGCAATGTCTGTTCAGCTGCTACTTTTTCTTTACAAATACCAGCATCTCCTTGATAACTTTTGAAGCTCATGTCTCTATTGCTGGGTTTCAGACATGTGACTGGGATGACACGCGAAATGCAAATGGAGGGCAGGAAGTGGATTTCTACAGTTCAAAAAACAGTGCATAATGGATAACACAGTGTACGCTAATGCCCTAAATGGGCTCGCAAAGACGAGGTATCATAAAAAAAAAACAAAAAAAAACTTAGACTTAGACTCGTACTTTATTGATCCCTTGGGAAGACTCCCTCAGGAAATTGAAGTTACCAGCAGCTTACAGGCAGAAAAGTGGCACACAGTGAGCAAAATACAAAAGAATACAAAAAAAATACAGATTAAATACAAAGGTACACACTAAATGTGAGTAACCAAAACCCTAAATTAAGCAAAAATAAGCAAGCAATAAGAATATAAGTAAAATATAAAAAAAAATATATAAATACAACACAAGAGAAAATATAGAAATTTGGCAGATAGATTGACCAGTGATATGGTATTGCACTATGTGGTTTGGCCTAATAAGTATGGAGTTCACATTTGCAAAAAAGTACAAGGGGTCACTACTCCTTCTTCCCTCTTCCTGTGCCCCCCCCCCCCTCTCCTCCCCAATGAGGACTTGTACAGTCTGAAGGCGTGAGGGTCTGTCACTGAACAGGCTCCTCTGGCTTCTGGACGTGTCCTTCTTGGATGTGCTGCCTCCCCAGCACAGCACGGTGTAGAAGAGGACACTGGCAATCACTGACTGGTAGAACATCCACAGCAGTTTGCTGCAGATGTTAAAGTTACATTTAGTATATGATCCATATTGTCTAGCTAACAAAGACTTTCATATAATCTGGAGTATTTATCCGGCGTGGAGATAATCAACATAACCAATTATCTGGTGCTGCAGACCTCATGCAGCACCAGACCTCATGCAGACCTCATGCTATACCACGACCCAAATGAAAGCTTTCAAAAGTCTGGAAGCATACAATCAATTCATTTCAGGTTGGGTCAACCATTTAGGATCCAAAGAAGCATTAAATGGCTGTCGACTTGTTTCTGCCCGGGTGAGTTGTTGTGCTATTTTAAGTAAGTAATCTATGATAATAATGCAACCGCTAAAAACAAGCTAACCCATGTTATGTCCGTGTGATTGGATCTACTTGCAATCAATTTATGTGGCTTCTATAAACCCAAATTCAAGCTGGAGTTGTATGTTAATGTTGAGTCATACTGCATTTCTATAATGTAGGTCAACCATTTGCAGGGATCGACAGAAACCCCAATAAAATGTGATTTGTGGTCAGAGGCAGTGGGGAAATAGTCACAGCTCATACGGCTGGGTAGGTTATATTTAATTTATTTATCTTTTTCTTTTTTAAGCATTAATGTTCCAGAAAGTAAAGATTATATTTTCTGTCCAGGACTCATCTAAGTATTTAGCTTGGCTAAATACTAGTAATGTTGACATTTTTGAATATTCTTTTTTCAGACTGTTGAATCTTGCTCCCACGTCTGAGCTGTCCTTTCTGCAACACATAGGCTTGGCGTGAAAATGAACTAAAGTGCCTCATGTGTCATAGAGAAGTGTAAATGACTAATGCCATCACACATCAAAAAGTTATATTGATCTGCTGCAAATATCATGGTTTTAATGTTTTGTTAATATTATTAGGATGCCTATCTGCTTTGTAACTTCATAAACGAGCTGCACCAATATTGATTTTGCATCAGGAAAAAGTGTGAATGGGGGTGCCATTATTTGCGGTTACCCAGAAATGTTTTTTTCACCCCAGGCACCCTGTACCCATCAGTTCTGATGAGTAAATAAGTAAGTCATACTTTTTTTCTCTTTGCTGTTTTTTCTTCAAAATACAATTGTTTTATCTGTCTAATTGCTCTATTATTTTATTCTCTTTTTTGTAGGTTTCTGTAAAGTGCAGTTGTGCAGTGAATGGGAATGTTCTGTCGTTAATCCTCACTGTTCTTGGGAAGGAGAAATGTTAGTTTGTATGCAATAACACTGAAAAACTGTGACATTGTATTAAAACAATACTCTGTTCTTGGGGAAACATTTTTCCTCCAACGCGTACATATTATTTTATTGTGTTATTTTTTTATAAGCATGTTGTTTATAAACTTTTAATATACTGACAGTTTGTACAATTCTCTCATCAATCAATCAATCAAATCAAATTTTATTTGTATAGCACATTTCAGCAGCAAGGCATTTCAAAGTGCGTTACATCATAAACACAAAAACACAAAGTCATGCAACATAGAATAAACAATACATTGTTACATATTACATTTCAAATACAATTCTAAACATGATAGTATATTGGCAATGCACTCTTGAAAAATGTGAATATATTGAATACACAATGTTTTCCCTGGAAACTGTGTTGTAATTGATCCTTCTGTGTTCTGGTAGCCGGATGTATTTGCAGTGTATGAAGCATTAATGTACTACGTGGGAAAGAATAATAGTAAAAGACATGAAGTAACTAAAAGTGTACTTCAAAACAAAAAATGTAAATGGAGCATACTGTGATCTCACTACACAAGTCAAAAGAATGAAAAACAATTATAGCAAAATCTAAATTTACTGAGCTCAAACTTTTGTGTCCATACCAAGCAGACTTCAAAAAAAAACTGGAAGAATTAAATGGGAATAAACAATATCAATAAATCTACAAAAGAAGTGACATTACATTACAAAATATGCAATGCTTATATACTTACAAGACATTCTAAATATATTTTAAATGTAATTCGATCACAAAAAAGTTAAGATATAAAAAATAAGCACATATTTATTACATAAAAGCTGTATGTTTAAAGTATAACTTTAGTTGTTCCAAAAAAGGAATGTGACAGTACACTTAGTACACTTTAAATTGTGCTTTTGTACAATTTGCATTAAAATATACAAAATTAGTTGTTCCAAAATAACACACTTCAAGTATACTGATGATCAGTCTGGCTTCAGCTATCCTTAAGTATGCTGAAATTGAGCATGCTTAGTATATTTATTTTTCACCTGAACCTATTCAAAAATATTCCCAGAAGTACAACTTCAGATTCCCTTTGGGATCAATAAATTTTTGAATCAAATTTTGTACTTGAGCTCTTGATCTTGGAGTAATTTTGCTAGATTGATCACTCCAGTTGTGCTAATGTCTTAGGCTAAATCATTTATTTTAAAGCTCTTTCATAAAACATGAAACTCTCCCTAATATTTTCATTTACAAGACAAAAACAAATTAAGGAGCTGTACTACGTAAGGTCGACTTTTAATTTTTAGCTTTTTATCATGTTATAATGTTATTCCATCTTCAAAAACATACTTGGAGTGTTGCTTTGATTCTTTTATACATGTTTGAGAAATCCTTAAAGACTAACAGCAGTAACAACAAGCAAACATCTTTAGAGCTTAATATATGAACAATTTCTCAGTCCAATGCTCCAAAGAAAGTTTGTAAACGGCTTAGAAGTGAAATGTTGTCATTATGCACTGAAGGCAAAGTGACGGAAATACCACAAGATTCTTACAGAGACAGACTTCATTTTAAGGTGTCTAATTGCAAAGTCAAATTTAAATTTCTTTTGAAAGGGCAGTATAATATAAAGATGACTTTTTTTAGCTTTAGATCAAGTTATAATGTTATTCTCTCACTCAAGGTATGTTTTGATTTCCTCAATATAATATCTCTGGATTGTTGTTTTGAATCTTTCTTGCATGTTTGAGGAATCCTTCAATTTCCTGTGGCAACCATTCAGCTGTGCAAAATGCATGGGTGGACTTAAAGGTGCATTTGAGGCACAGCTCCTCCTTGGAGCTGCAGTTTCTTAGCTTCCGACTTATATAGTCATGTAGTCCTTCCCCATGACTCCCCAACTCAGTTCCTTAGGCAGGAACAAAATCCATGAGATAAACAGCTATGCCTTGCCAGTAATCAGATACCCTGCTGGAATAATTAGCTGGCCAAAGGAGGAGATAAAAGCCACAGATATTAAGACTAGAAAGCTACTAACCATGCATGGAGGGTTCCACCCCAAATCCAGCACCCTGAGACTGTACACGAGCCGCAAGGACGGAGGCAGAGGACTAGTGAGTGTGAGAACCACTGTCCAGGACGAAACAACTAAGATCCATAAATACATCAGGGACAAAGCCTCAACAGACAATGTGCTCAGTGAATGTCTCAGACAACAGGGAACGGAGGTTGAGGTGCCAGAGATACCATCATGGGAGGACAAGCCCCTACATGGGATGTACCACCAGCAAATAACCCAAGTGGCTGATATCAGTAAATCCTACCAATGGCTGGAAAAAGCTGGACTCAAGGACAGCACAGAGGCCCTCATCCTGGTCGCCCAGGAACAGGCCCTAAACACCAGAGCAATAGAGGCCCAGATCTACCACACCAGACAAGACCCAAGGTGTAGGTTGTGCAAGGAGGCCCCTGAGACAGTCCAGCACATCACAGCAGGGTGCAAGATACTGGCAGGGAAAGCGTACATGGAGCGACATAACCAAGTGGCAGGCATAGTGTACAGAAACATCTGTGCAGAATATGGACTGGAAACCCCGAGATCAAAGTGGGAAACACCCCCAAAGGTTGTAGAGAACGCCAGAGCTAAGATCCTGTGGGACTTCCAGATCCAGACAGACAGAATGGTAATGGCGAACCAACCAGACATTGTCGTAGTGGATAAACATCAGAGGAAAGCCGTTGTGGTAGATGTAGCAATACCAAGTGATTGCAACATCAGGAAAAAGGAGAAACTGGAGAAATACCAGGGTCTCAGGGAAGAACTGGAGAGGGCCTGGAAGGTGAAGACCACAGTGGTGCCTGTGGTCATCGGGGCCCTCGGGGCAGTAAACCCAAACTGGAGCAGTGGCTACAACAGATCCCAGGAACAACATCAGACATCTCAGTCCAGAAATGTGCAGCAGTCCTTGGCACAGCCAAGATACTGCAGGACCCTCAAGCTCCCAGGCCTCTGGTAGAGGACCCGAGCTCAGAGGATAAGAACCACCCGCGGTGGGTGAGAAGGGAATTTTTTATTTTTTTTTTATATGTTCAATTTACACAGCACTTTTATAACCAATGAAGGTTGACTGAGCAATAAAATAGAACTGTCTACCTGAAAAATAAAAGTTTTAATAAATAGTATTAAAACACTATTAAGTGTTTTAATAGGTTCAGGAGTCTGACTCAAATAAACATCCCAAAGTGTGCTGAAACATTGTGGCCCTTTCTGCACCATCAAGTTGAACTGGACTTTGTTGTTGTTGCTATCTCATTAATATCTCTGATTTGTTTGCTAACAAATCTATAAGTACTGTCAGACATAGATAATGAATATATTGTCAACCTTTCCCAACAGATTCATGCTAATATTGAAAATTCATGGAACGAGGAGGAAGTGTGGCGGGTGGAGATGTACGTTTCCTTTGGGATCATGAGCTTTGGGCTCATGTCCCTCCTGGCCATCACCTCCATTCCTTCAATCAGCAACTCTCTGAACTGGCGGGAATTCAGCTTTATCCAGGTACAAACTATCTTTCAAGAGATGTTCATGACTTGTGTCTACAGAATCAGTAATATCTAATGAAAAAAAAGGTACATAGTTTCACATTTGTTTTTGTATTTAAGTAAAAGAAGCCATACTTTGTTCCTTTTTGTTTCATTTCCCAATATTTTCACAATTAATTAATTAATTGTGAAAGGTAACCAAATAGTGTCTGTCCTAAACTGATGCAGTAAATTTTCCTTTAAATTTTTCAATTAAATTATAAAACCTCACATGGCCTAAAATGAGTCAACAATTACTGATGCAATATTTTTTCCATTTATTGGAAAAAATAAATATCAGGAAATTGTCTGCTAGAAATTTATGTATGCATGAGAAATCAAAATCAAAATCTGTTAATTTGTTTCAGCCTGTTCACCACTGACCAGCTGCAATTGTGCAATATCATCTTATTTCATGGTTTAGATTTATAGTAAAATGAAATGACTCAATGCCGTTTAGAAATAAAGGACTAATACACTTTTATGTAACCTAGTTTGCATTGCGTGACAGACCCAGTGTCTGAGACTATTAAGCAAATAAAATGTTCCTTTAAAACACAGGGAAATGATGAGACACACAACTGATGTCAGCCCAGTCCCAATACTCACACTTCCACCCTTTTTCCTTCAAATGCATGTTCATGTTTAAGGGTTTGAACGACTAGTGTGTCCCAATTTACCACATCTGTCTTCTCCCTTTTTGAGGTCCCGTTATCACATTCTGGTAAGACTGAACTAGTGGCGTTAAATCTAGAGAAGAAACTGTTCAATGTATCGGAAGAGGAGGATCCCCACTAAGCCACTGGCTGGTGTTCTTATAGTCTGCCATAGTCATCAGTCTTTTCCACATATTTTGTATTATTATTATTATTATTATTTTGATACATTAATTCTTTTGTTATATGTTATACATTTAGTATGTATATGTATTTGTATCAACTTAAAGTACATTTTGTTTACTTAGTTTTGTTTCTTTGACAATCTTTTATGAGTTGGTAGCACTGCTGCCTTGCAGCAAGAAGGTCCTGGGTTCGATTCCCAGCCCGGGGTCTTTCTGCACGGAGTTTGCATGATCTGCGTGTGTGGGTTCTCTCCAGGTTCTCCGGCTTCCCCCCAAAGTCCAAAAACATGACTGTCAGGTTAATTGGTCTCTCTAAATTCTCCCTCGATGTGAGTGTGTGTGTGCATGTTTGTTTGTCCTGTTTGTCTCTGTGTTGCCCTGCGACAGACTGGCAACCTGTCCAGGGTGTACCCTGCCTCTCGCCCGGAACGCAGCTGGAGAGGCACCAGCACCTCCCGACCCCGTTAGGGAGAAGGGTGCTCAGAAAATGGATGGATGAATGTATTCTCTCAAAGGAGAAAATATTCTCTCCTTTGAGAGTATTATATATACAGAACAGACCAAAATTTGGACACACCTTTTCATTCAATGAGTTTCCTTTATTTTCATGACTATTGACATTGTAGATTCACACTGAAGGCATCAAATGATGAATTAAACCACGTGGAAACATGTACTAAACAAAAAAAAAAAGTAAAACAACTGAAAATACGCCTTATATTGTAGTTTCTTCAAAGCAGCAACCTTTTGCTGTGATCACTGCTCTGCACACACACTGCATTGTCTTGAGCTTCAAGAGGTCGTCACCTGAAATGGTTTTCACTTCACAGGTGTGACCTGTCAGCTTAATAAGTGAGATTTCCTGTCTTATAAATAGTCATGAAAATAAAGGAAACACATTGAATGAGAAGGTTGTGTCCAAACTTTTGGTCTGCATATATATATATATACACATATATATATATATATATATATATATATATATATATATATATATATATATATATATATATATATATATATATATATATATATATATATATATATATATATATATATATATATATATATATATATATATACTTTCTAATTTCCTGTGACTCCTCCTGTTTTTCATCTGGTCCATCAAATTTAGATCACTATTACCACAACATTTCACTATATGAATGTCAATGGGCTCTTTTGAGCACAACGTCTTTTTCTGATACTATGGAGCCTAGTATGTGACAGCAGATTGAATGTCCCCAATATCCAGGGATAATCTTCTCCAGAAATTTTTTCTGCTGCTAGGATTCAGCTTCCATTTCACCACTACCACAGAGGAAATACTATGAAAAAAAAGTCATCTAACATGGAAACTCCACTAATCACAAACACAAGGCAACTAGAACAGGAACAAAAAGGGTGGAATAAGAAGTAGACTGAAGTGGGAGAAAGTAAACAAAGAAAAATGCAGGTGATTCTAGTGTTTCCCGTGTGCTTGCTCTGAAACAAGTTACCAACTTAAGAGTGTAGCCATCACACTAAACAAGACAGCAAAAACCGATATAAATAATACACAGTCATCAACCCTCAGACATTGTGACCCAAACGTTGTGTACAATATCAGTGCACAGATGGACACAGGCCTGTTTTCCAGTTTTGACATGAGTTGTCTACTTTTTGTTTTTTCTTCCATAGACCACTCTGGGTTACATCGCCCTTCTCATTGCTACTATTCATGGCCTACTGTTTGGCTGGAGACGAGCCTTGGATGAGGATGCCTACCGCTTCTACCTACCACCCAGCTTTGTGGTATCCCTAGCTCTGCCTGTCTGTGTCATACTGGGAAAGGTGCTAATGTTGCTTCCATGTATAGGTCACAAGCTTCACCAGATTCGCAAGGGTCTGGACACCAGTCCCTGCAAGGCCCAGCGCTTGGAGCCGGTTGGCTCAGCAGCAAACATTTCACCTGAAAGAGTTACCATTATGTGATTTACTCCAGTTTTTTGTTCATTGATGTGACTAAGCACTTTGTGGTTTTAACTCTATGAACATGCCACTGTCTTTCTCTCAGCAATTTTGCTAACTTGCGTGCTGTGTACATGTGACCATGTTAGGTCTGATATCACAGTTTTCTCCAAGTAAAGCTGTGCCATTGAATAACCTTCCTGTCAGTATAAAAAGTCTTCCTCTAGTGCAGTGGTTCTTAATCTGGGTTTGGTCGAACCCCAGGGGTTCATTTCTATCAGCGGAGCCTCTGCCACGGAGGTAAAGTTGTGATGACGCGCCTCGCTTGGCCATCACTTGCTTCAGAGGATCATGTGACATTGCTTGGCCAATCAGTGCTTCGGGAATTTAGCGGGAGCGGTATTCAACGGCTGTCGTAGTTGTACGTCGTGTGGTTTCTTTCTCAATATTTTAATCCATACTACACAAGTCGAGCAAAAAAAGAAAGTGGTCGGACGAATATGTACAACATGGATTCACATGTATCACAAAACAAGATGGGACTGACCATCTGCATGATCAATCAGTCAATCAATCAAATGTTATTTGTATAGCACATTTCAGCAGCAAGGCATTTCAAAGTGCTTTACATCATAAACACAAAAACACAAAGTCATGCAACATAGAATAAACAATATATTGTTTCATATTACATTTCAAATACAATTCTAAACAGAATGTGTTTTTAGTTGAGATTTAAAGGAAGTCAGGGTTTCCTCTGTTTTGCAGTTTTCTGGAAATTTGTTCCAAATTTTTGGTGCATAGATGCTGAAAGCTGCTTCTCCTCTCTTGGTTCTGGTTCTGGGGATGCAGAGCAGAACCAGAACCAGAACCTGAGAGTCTGGAAGGTTGATACAACAACAGCAGATCTTTAATGTATTGTGGTGCTAAACCATTCAGTGATTTATAAACTAACAACAGTATTTTAAAATCTATTCTTTGAGCTACAGGGAGCCAGTGGAGGGACTTTAAAACTGCTGTTATGTTTCTATCTTCCTGGTTTTAGTGAGAACAGGAGCAGCAGCTTCTGGATCAGCTGCAGCTGGAGGATTGATTTGTTGGACAGGCCTGTGAAGACGCTGTTACAATAATCAATGTGACTAAAGATAAACACAGGGATGAGTTTCTCTAGATCTGGCTGAGATATTAGTCCTCTAATCCTGGAGATGTTCTTCAGTGATAGAAGGCCGACTTTGTAACTGTCTTTATGTGGCTCGTAAGGTTCAAGTCTGAGTCCGTCACTACTCCCAGGTTTTGGGCCTGATCTCTAGTTTTTAGTTGTAATAACTGAAGCTGTGCATTGACTCTAGATCAATAGCTCTAGATCAATAGCTCTAGATCTATAGCTCTAGATCTATAGCTCTAGATCTATAGCTCTAGATCGTTCTCTTTAGGTCCAAAAATAATGACTTCAGTTGTGTTTCTGTTCAGCTGGAGAAAGTTTTGACACATCCACACATTTATCTGTTCTAAACATTTATTCAGTGATTGGATGGGGTCAAAGGTCACCTGGTGACATTGTAATGTAGAGCTGTGTGTCATCTGCATAGTTATGGTAGCTGATATTATTTCCTATTATAACCTGAGCTAGTGGGACAATATAAATATGGAATAAGAGGGGTCCTAGGATTGAACCTTGGGGCACCCCACATGTGACCTTTGACCTCTTTGAAGAGAAGTTTCCAATTGAAACAAATAAATCCTGTTCTTTATGTAAGATTCCAACCAGTGAAGCACTGGACCGGAGAGTCCAACCCAACTCTCCAGTCCATTCAGTAATATGTCAAAAGCTGCACTGAGGTCCAACAGAACCAGCACTGTGGTTCTCCCACAGTCCGTATTTATATGGATATCATTGAATACTTTGACTAGGCCAGTCTCCGTGCTGTGGTGAGCACGAAAACCAGATTGTTAGGAGTCAAAGCAGTTGGTTATTGTCATGAAGCTATTCAACTGTTTACACACAGCTTTTTCAATAACTTTGCTGATGAATGGGAGGTCAGAGGTCAGAGGTCGGCCTGTAATTCTGCTGTAGTGATTTGTCCAGATTGTTCTTTTTTAGCAGAGGTTTGATAACTGCTGTTTTCAAAACCTGGGGGAAAACGCCTGATGTGAATGATGAGTTACTATTTGGATCAGATCAGTAGCAATAACAGGCAGGACTTTCTTAAAGAAATGTGTGGGAAGGACATCCAGACAGCAGGAGCTTGAACTTAATTGACTTAGAATTTGTTCTAGAGTTTTATAATTAAGTGGTTGAAAGTGGGTCATTTTTCCTGTATTAGGTTGTCTGGGTACAGCAATGGTTCTGGCTGTAGAGTTGATGTGCAGATTAATCCTCTGATTTTTTATTTTTCTCTGAAAAGAAGCTGGAAAACTTGTTACAGGCAGCATTAGATTGAATTCAGGAGGTAACGTCATAGGAGGGTTTGTGAGCCTGTCAACTGTTGCAAATAAAGCTCCAGCATTGTTAATGTTTTTGTTTATGACATCTGCAAAGAAAGCCTCCCTTGCATGTTTTAGTGTTGAGTGATAGTTACATAGTATTTCTTTGTAGATGTTATTATGAACGTGAAGTTGAGTTTTACGCCATTTTCGTTCTGCTCTGAGACAGAGTTGTCTTGCAGATCGAACTGTTTGTGCTTTTCTCCATGGAGATTTCTTCTTACCAGTCAAAACCTTTACTTTAATTGGGGCAATGGAATCAATGATATATGAAACTATAGACTGAAAATCATCTACCAACTTATCTACGTCATTACAGTTTAAGGGTGAGGAAGAAGTGTAGATTTGATTAAATGTTTCTGCTGTGTTTTCTGTAAAAGAACGTTTTGTGACAGTAGCTGTTTGTCCAAGTGGGTCAAAGAATAAATAACTTTCATAGATAACAGCAAAGTGATCCGACAGGGCGACATCAGTTACAGAGACATTGGAAATATTCACACCATTACTGATAACCAGGTCCAGTGTGTGTCCTTGAGTGTGTGTTGCTTGTTTCACATGTTGTGTTAAACCAAAATTTTCTAAAATATAAAAGCTTTTTTGCCCCTCTGTCTTGGGGTTGTCCACATGAATGTTGAAATCACCAACAATTATTAATCAATCATAATCAATGCATATGAGAGATAGAAGATCATTCAAGTCAGTAAAGAAATGTTCCACGTATGTTGGAGTTTTGTATAAAGTTAGTGTCAAAGTTCATTTGTGGCCTTCAATCTCAATTCTTAGATACTCAAAAGAGGTGAAATGACCCAAAGAGATTTTACTACAGTTTATGGTATTTTTAAATATAGAAGCCACGCCTCCTCCTTTTTTATGTTTTTTATTCTAACTTAAAAAATTGTAGTTAGGAGGCGCTGATTCAATTAGTACAATTTGGTCATTATCGTCATTCAACCATGTCTGTCAGAAACATAACATCCACATTATACTCAGTGATGAAACCATTAATTAATAGAGCACAGAGTGATCTGGTATTTAAAAGAGCTACTTTAAGTGGCTTAGAGGTCAAAAGATTTTCAGTCTGAGGTTCCTTTAGGCATGGGATCACTCTGAGGTTCGAATTAGGGCCGCTGTATTTCATATTTCTGGTTTTTGTAAATTTTCTTGTAGTGATCCTGTTCTGCAGAACCCGGTGCACAGACACATTCTGGATGGAGAGGGTGTAAAGATAATATCTGGTCCCGGCCTCAGACCTCAGAGACGCAGAGTGATGGATCTTCTGAAAGTTCCATCCTAGTCAGACATCCTTGAGCCTGTTCTTCTGAAGCGATGATCCTGTTGCTGTCCTTATTGATAAAATAAAAAAGGTTTGCAGCAAGTAGCTTTATCCCATGTTTATTAAGATTGCATCCTCCTCTTCCGAAAAGGTGAAAGCGCTGCCAATAGATCCAGAGGTTATCATGAAGGTCACTGAGCTGGTAGAGCAGCGTTTAATCAGCCATTTGTTGATCGTGAGCAGCCTGGAGTGTTTTTCTTCTCCCCATTGAGGTGATGGAATTGGACCACTGAGAAATAACTTCATTTTTAATTTTCCCATAGTGTCCAGAAGAATGTTAAACTCTTTTTTCAGAATCTCAGACTTTTGCTTTGCCAGATCGTTGGCTCCAACATGGACAACTAAAGTCTCAATATCTGGCTGATCGGTGGTTAGAGAGAGCAGTTTGTTGGTTAAATCAGACACAGTGTCACCAGGAAAATACATCACTCTTGTTTTCCTGGGATTGCAAACAGGCAGCATTCCCTTCCCTTTACTGCCTCATCTCCAATAATAAGCACTTTTGGGATACCTTTTGTTTTCCTGGTGGTCGCTTTGTCCACTGGAGCTTTGGGGGATCGATGTGTTGGTCTTGCCTCATTGTTGATATTTGAAGGCGAAGTTTCACTCAGAGGCTCAGACTGGAGTGCAGAAAATCTGTTTTTAAGTGGGATTCCCACAGAGTCAGAATGTTTTGAGGCTCGTGCAGGTTGCTTTGTCCCTGGGAGGGGTCAGCGGGGTCAGCAGGGTCGGTGGAGGCGTTTTGGTTGCAGCTGCTTGTTTGTCTTTCTTTGGTGGAGCAGGTGTTGAAGTTGAAGGTGGGTTTCGGCTCAGAGCCGGCCACGCTGATTCGTCCAGGTGCGGGGTTCTCCCTCATAGTCGTCTCATCGGATCCGTAGTGCGAGATTCCCGTTTCGGCTTGGCACCCAGGGCGTTCCAGGGTGAGCTGCTCGGTGCAGGGCGCACCGTTGATTTGAGGAAGGGTCGTCTCATTTCCACAGGCAGCGTTGATCTCAAAGTTCACCTCCAGCAGTTTGATCTTCATTTCTATAGACTGAAGTCGTTGTAAAATACTGCTCATGTCCTTGGGGTCAGCCGGAGGCATTTTGCCCTGGTTTAACTTGGAGGTAAAGAAAAGTAGGTAAAAATAAAAGTAAGAAAATCCCCCAGTCTTTAGGTTTGGAGCAATCCAGTTAAGATGTCAATAATGTAAATATAACTATAAAAACTGTCACTTTAAAAATAATTCACAGGCAGAGTTATCAGTAAGGACGAGAGAGAGGAGGATAAGCTGTTCCTCCTTCAGCAGTCAGACAGAATTATCGTGCAACGCCAAGTTGAGCAACTCTAGTCTCCCACTGGCAAAACTAAGGGAACACTTCTTGAAGCTACATGGAGATGGGAAAAAGCAAAAAAGTATTTTGTGGATTCAAAACAACAAAAAAATTTCAATTTCAAATAAAAAAAATTACGTTATTAAAAACTGTTAAATTCTTACAAAAACATCAAATGTATTTTTAGTTAGTGAAATAGCCAAAACATATATTTTTGGGGGCTAAAATTCTTTTATGGTGCCCACTGCCGAAATATTTTTTGTTGGTCTGAATAAAGTATTAACACAATTTGGTGTGAGTTCATATACTGTGTTGGTTTTGTTCTTTAAGCAAAGTGATGTTCATGCATGGCTCATTTTGTACATCAGTAAAAAAAAAAAAGCATGTCTTGATTTTTTTTTTTTAATCCTTTTTTTTTTTATCAGTAAAGAAAGGTTCAGTGAATGCATATACAAAACTGGTGGGTTCAGTATCTCGAAAAAGGTTAAGAACCACTGCTCATTGTGTTTCATACTTTCATTTGAAATTTCATATTAATTGGTTAAATTTTTGTTGTCCTAGGTATGGTAAAACATGTTAGTTCCCAAATGTTTCCTAATCTTCAAGATAGGCTTCTTTAATTATTATGTAGATGAAATAACAACAATGATTCGGCAGTTAGTGAATGCTTTAAACTAGTAATAGTGACTTATTGAGCCATCCACGTCCACTGAGGTTGATGGGTCTTATTTTCAAGCATTTACCCTAAGATAGAAGACAAAGTGGAGCCTGACCTTTTGAAAATCTTGCATACATTCTAGCACATGCACCACTTCAAAACCTTTTTTGTAATATGATAGATATCCTGTACAGTTCGCCAAAAAACAAACTGTTTGGTTGTTCAAAGGAAATGCTAAAAATAAAACATAGCAAAGAATAAGAGTGAACATTCTGAAAGTATGGAATTCTAAAACTGTTCAGTTTTGGGATTAGAGGCCACTCCACTCTTACACCTCAATATACACATGAAACCCTTACTTGAGTTACAGTTTACTGCTCTTCTTTTGAGGGATCACAACCAGACATGCTGTGATGGGAGGCAGGTGAGGCTCTGCCTCACCCGTCATCATGAAATAATAATATATAATGATAAGATAATTCATATTACTATTTTCACTCTGAGGTCTGCACTATAAAGTATTTATTTTTTTCATTTAGCTTAACCAATTTTGATTATATTTTGATTATATTGTTATATTTTCATAATTTTCCATTCAAATGCAGCTGATGAAGCAGCAGGAAGCTGAGCCTCATCTTGGATTGACACTCTCTCGCTAACTGCGCTGGCTGCCATTTGATGAGAGCATGTTCCTCATGTGTGTATGCTGCCAATAAAATGGGTAAAACATTTAATATAGAAACTGATTTTCCATAATGCATATTTGTATATAATGTACAATGTTTTTTGTTACCATCTGTGTGTGTAACGTGTTTCGTGTGCTGAGGAGCGATCATAAACGGCAGAGAACAGTTTTCTTGCCTCATTGCTCATGATCCCAGACATTTTGGTCTTGCGACTCAACATCTCCAGATTAGGAGACAGTGAGCAAGCCATACAGTA